TTATGCATGTTTGATCGCGAAACCATATTGAACTTAATGTTTACTAAAAAAAAGACTGCTACATTAAAGATCTATTTAGATTTAAAGAGGAAGAATGTATTTGTAAAATCTTAGCAATTGAATTTGAAGTAAATCCAACGCTTTGCTAGATAGTCTGGTTTACAAAACTATGTACTTATTTATACTCAATAATTTTGATGTTTGATTATAATTCCTTGAAAAAGCTTGAACCAGATTGCCAGACGAAACTTTGAATTTACTTCAAATTCATTCGTTGGGATTTTACAAATACATTCTCTCTTGTCAATGTCTCACATCAACCCGGTGCCCGAATACTGTGAAACAAATTAAATTTAGGCGAACGTCCTCATATATATTTAGATTGTTATAGAATACTATTGTTTTTCATTTTATGATAACAAAAAACTTTTCGTTTTCACTTTGATTGAAGTAGAAATTTATCATAACACCAATTAATTTGCAAAAACAAAACACTGATAATTTGATAAAACAAGCTTTCGAATGAAAACAATGAATTTTACAACATTATAAGTACAGTTTCCCGTAATGAGCCTAAATCCGGTAAATACAAACTGTGAAACTAGCAAATACGAAAACATTACATGCTAAACAAAGTTCAATACAAATATAGATTTATTAAATAAAAAGACATCAATTTAGGTTACTAACAAGGTATATTCAAATTTGACTAGATACTTCTAAAAGTCACAAAACACTTTTTATATAGAATGTATTAGCAGGCCTTTTTTTGATTCCAAGCAATGAATACATTTAGTAAACAGTAAATATTAACGATTAGTTCATGAATCTAAACAATAAAGAAAAGAAATACTCGTTAATAGTTTCAGTGTAATATCAAAATGAGTAAAGTTGAGCAAACGTACATAATTGAGTTGGATCATTCAATTCAATTAGATAATTCAGTTAGTTAATTCACAATTATTTGCTTATTTTCTTTTTTCATTGTACTGTGAATTGGATTTAAAATAGAGTTTACCATGAATTGCTATAGTTTTTATCAGTAATAGTATTACACTTTCTTAACTGTATAATTATTAAAGGATTTCTTGTTTTCTTAATCATATATTATATTAAAAACAATACTAATTAGTGATTGTAAAATGTCACTGATCATAGTGTCTTCTTACTCAAAATATTCGAATTTGAGTAGGAAGGTTTGAGTGAATTTGTTTGATTTGGTTTAAGTTTTGATGACTTTATTATATCGCGACGAGAATTCCGAGTGGTAACTCTTGGGAACAATTTATGAACCAATACGATACATATATTATTATCTCATAATTATTGAGCAGCTAAACTATGCATATTCATGTTCCTCTTATTATAAGCTTTATTTTGACCCATTTTGACTATTATTATACGATTTACATTTCTTGAGTTCTACCCAGTCTATTAACCACAGTCTCCTACATTTACAGACACTTTCGGCTAGATCTTGTATAAATGTTATTCTGTATTTTATGGTGAGATGTGGTATGTTTGATTTGTATATAAACCCAGTATTTTTGAAATACATAATACATATCGCGGAGGCTGAGATTGGTATTCTGGACTTGATGGGCATCACTGTTCTCTAATTGGCGATATCATTACATTGTATATATAAATAGGGCATAAGGTCACAAATTTTAACGGACATGTATACAATAAACAGTATCTTTTAATAAAAACAATATATTTGCAATATCCCATCGAGTAGAAAAATCAAGTTTTCAAAACTTCTGACGTTATGTAACTCAAGGTGAGCTACGTCTTATTTTTTTCTTTGAAGAAGTAGCTAACATTAAGTCACGAAACATCAAAAAATTTAAAAACTTAATTTATCTACTCATTAGGATATTACAAATATATTATTTTTATCAATAACGATCTACCCAACGGTCAACTTATTTAAAACTATCAAGTCAAACATTCGTAATGATACCTACAAAAATCTTTTAAGTTTGATTCATCTTTACATATCTATATACTTACGCCTGATACTCCCAACGGCGCATAGGCCGCCAACCAGCATACTACGACCCACTCTGTACTCGGCCTTCCTTTGTAATTCTATCCAATTTTTGATAAATTTATCTCATATCTGTCTTCATTTATCGGTGTAATGTGTTCTTTGATCTTTCTATCCTCCTTTCACCTTGAGAACTTCATGTCAGGGCTTGTCTTGTGATGCAGTTGGGTGCTTTCCTCATTGTGTCTTATCCACTTCTAGCGCTTCTTCCTGATTTCCTCCTCTGCTAAGATCTGGTTTGTTCTTTCCTATAGTAGGTTGTTGCTGACAGTGTCTGACCAACGGATGCGAAGTATTTTGCGTAGACAACTGTTAATAAACACTTGTATCTTCTGTATGATGGCTTTCGTAGTTCGCCACGTTTCCACCTCATACAGTAGAACCATCTTGACATTTTGTATTGAAAAACCTGACCTTGGTGTTGGTTGACATTTGTTTTGAGTTGCAGATGTTCTCCCGTAAATATGCTGCTCTTGCTTTGCCGATATATATATATATATATATATATATATATATATATATATATATATATATATATATATATATATATATATATATATATAGAGAGAGAGAGAGAGAGAGAGAGAGGTAGATAGATAGATAGATAGATAGATAGATGGAGAGATATATGGCAAGATAGATGGATAGATTGATAGATAGATAAATTCAATACTTTAAGTTTGTTAAATTAATGAAATTTTTTATTTGAAAATATCTAACAAAAAGACAATCACATCAACCAGTACTGACCTTTAATTTCATTTTCTACAAATATACATTCATCACCAATATTAGAATGAATTAAGATGGACAAGAACATAACTGAGTTTTTTTTTTCTTTTCTTATTTTATTTGATAATCAATCAACCTTATTTGATTTATAATTCATCCATTCATTAAATAAATAAATAAATAAATAAATAAATAATGTTCACTATGAATCAAACATAATTTCAGTCAAATAACTAATTAAATTAACTATGTGTAATTCAATTAGATTTTCTTTTTCTTTTTGAAAGTTCATTCAAATAGTTCTATGGAGTGTTTTTTTTAGTTTTTGTTGTTGTTGTTGTTTGTTGTTGTTGTGGATCAACTAGAAATTTGTCTTTTTTTTCTTTGTTTCTTTTTTTGTTTTCTTTTTGGTAAATATATTTTGAAATAGAAATCAAATTTTAAATAATTTCAATTTACTTTTTGTTTTTATATATTATAAATTTGTAATAACCGTATGAATTGTTAGTTATTGTAAGAAATATATATATGATACAGTTAGATATTTTTTTATAAACTCAAAAAGGTTTTGTGTATATTATAGTAATTTAATAGTTGAGTTCATGAATCAATTGAAGTTGGACCACTATGAAAAACCTGGAAGTACTCGACGATCGTTGTGTCCTAGTATCAAACTTCTCAACTGTGCACATCCACGATCCTGCCCTGCGAGATTCGAACCTAAGACTTATCGGTCTGTAGAACGAGTTCTTGAACTCTAGATCACTGAGCCGGCATCCAATGGTGTGCTTCCAGGTTTTCCATGGTTGTATAGCTTCAATTGACTGATGAATTCAACTGTTAAATTTTTTTGGTTCATCACTAACAATAATAGTGGTTAATTTTAAATTTGGATTACAATTTTGTAAAAAGACAAAAATATAATTAAATTAACTTCGTTTTACTTTAAATCAATACAATACAAACTAATGTATGAAGTTTGATCGTCACAATCTGACACAATAAAAATGTTATTCCTTGTTAAATCATTTATTTATTTGTGAAAAAGCACACTTTTTTAATTCACTTAGTACTGGTTACTTGAATCTTCTCAGTGATGTTTAGGACTGTAATTGATCTGAAATACAGGTACATCCAGCTGAAGAGTCTCTAATAGAACGAAACTTGCATCTGGAATTCTACTTCTAGCCATCACCCGTCTTTAATTGTAATTCTTATGAATTAAGGCAATATCGAGGCAACACGCACAGTATGTACATATTCTAATAAGAGATCAATCATTTACAATCCTAAAAATAAATGTTAATATTCAAGTATACAGTACCAAGTGAATTTAAATTTCACTTCATTGCACAAGTAAATGGCTATCAGGACTCAGTAGCTAAGTAGATAACGTGGTGGCGTCTGAAGTGAACGGTACTGGGTTTGGGTTTCTGAGGAAACATCAACTCTGAGGTGCAGGCACATCCAGCTGATGAATCCCAAATGGGAAGAAATACGTGTCCTGGATTTCACTGCTAGCCACTATCCATCTTGGTTTATCATACATTTGTTTCCCGAACATTCTTAGTGCCATTTTGTATGAATATATCAAGGTTTTATTTATTAAATGCATTTTAAATAGATACACACAAAACAGTAGATTTTATGAAAAGTCTTAATCCGTCGTTATATTTTCACCAGTTGTAGTACATTCGGTTTGATATCTACATATCACTAGCTGTGAAATCTGTAATCAAACCTATTATAAATTGTCATGATACCATCTATCATCTTTTGAAAATGGCATAAATATAATAATCATTTATTTTAAGTAGATAAGAAAGTACTGAATCTTTAATTCTTCATTCAATTATGCATTTCTAACTTCAATTCCATAAAACCTTATTTATTAATATGTATTGTAATCCAAAATAAAATAGTGACCTAATGTTACAATCTACATGTTAATCTTCATATCTATCTGATAATAAATAATATTCCTAGGAAATTGTCAATTACTCAAATGTCAATATTCAAGGCCTATGATTTTACACTCATTTCTTTGATGCATTGGTTGTGTCTAGTACTGTAAAGTGTAATACATTTCAAAATAACTGTTCCTTTTATAATTATTATTTTAAGTAACAGAACCAACTATTCCATCTTATCTTTTATTAATTTTTATTAAAAATGACCGTTGAAAAATTGACACTTCATTTGTATTCCATAACAGATGCACCAGCTAATGTCACAATTTCAGTAGAAACTGGTAGCATTGATGATGATCATACTGGTGGACGCCATGAAAAAGTAGCATATGCACGTGCCGGTGAAATGAAGACATTTATTTGCAAAACTGCTCCATATTACGGTCAGGCAACTATTAAGTGGTTATTTCAAGCAGCTGGTGCTAGTATTACAACACCACCCAAACAACTGGTTGATAAAGCTGTCACATTCAAAACACCTGATGGAGAGAGTGTCTATCAAGAGTCACGCATTCAGATCACTGTTCGACCAGAAGATGACAGAAGTTATATAGATTGTCTTGTTTGGAGTGTTGGAGATGCACGCATTGATTCAAGAGTTCGTCTAGATATTATCCGTGAGTTCCTCTCCGTCAGATATATGTTTGCTTTATTAGATATACTATTGCGTTTATATTCATTGCCAGACAGCAGTGAGATCTGTAAACATATCAAAATGCTAGTAATGTTGTTCATTCTGAAACACTGATCTCCCGTCTAACACTTTTAAGACCAAAGATTTGATATGCAATGACCTAAAATTAAAGAAATGTACTGGATTCCATTATCATATAGAACCATATGTAATTTAAAATAATTGTTACAGAAATTCTATATTATCGATTAATGAAGAACAAATGAGACCAGTAAGATTAACCACTACAATATTCAAATAATACTATTATGAAATACATTTATCAAGTAGTTAGAGAATAATTATTTTCTATTATGATATGGAATTTTATATTGTTAATTAGAACAAAATATATAATCGAACAATATTGTTTTCATTCAGATCCTCATCAGGCTTAATATTTATACACAATATTTGTGTGCATATATGAAAATACCAATCTAATAGAGACAGTTCATTAGTCAATATTAATAACAAAATACATTACCTAACTAAGTATAATTAACTCAAATATCAGTTTCCAACTTTTTACCCATCATTTTTAGTCAAGTAATCAATTTCGTTGTTATAATTGTCTAAATGAATTGTCTCAATTAGTTTGATATTATTATATATACATAGAAATGTTGTATATTAGTGTAAAACCTAATGAGAATCTGATTGAAAACAATATTATTAATCACTTATAAATGTTGTTCTAGTTATTCTCATATTAACAACTTGTTCGAATTAATACATCATAATTAAACTTCTTCTATATAGACTGTAAATTCAGTGCTTTCTATCAAAATCTACATTAAAAATGATATTGAAATAGATGCGAATAAAGTTTTACCATTTATGTTTTTCATCAATTACACATAACAGTTTATCAATACAAGTGTATTGAAAACTTATTTTCTCTTTTAAATTCCATCTCTAATTAATCATATTAAGATAAATTCAATCTACTTAGTTGATTTTATTATTTAACTTAAAATAATTTATCTAGTTACTAAACTGATGTCTGTGAAAACCTTTTTTTCACCCTAGAAACGATTGATAATAACAGGCCGATAGAAAGAAATACAAAATCATTTTAAAAAAATATAATTCACAAGTTTTATTTATCATTTTAACTTTATACTAAAGTTGATATTTGTCATAATGACAATTGGGTGAGAATTATATTGTAGTAATGGTTGTTATCATTATTGTTTGTCAATACTAAACAATAACACAAACGATAAATGTTGAGAAGTTTGTTAAATATTCAATAGTGAATATATATTTGTGATTTGATAACTAGCTTAGTTTAAATCATAAGTATGTATGAGATATGTGTTAAGCGATTTTTAAGTATTCAGTTACATTTGAACAATAATGAATTTTTATCAACTAATTCATTTAACTTTACAGGCACTGTAATATTGCAAAGATAATTTATTTGAAACTGTCATATGTATAACCTAGAAATATGTTATGAATTTTCATTGAGACTATAAATTGTGGACGACCTTTGAGCGGCGTTAGAATAAATTTGAAATTGTCCATTTAATAACCAGGATCAAATGAGGGTTATAAACCAGTGTGAGGAATTACAATTATGATTTACAGTTGATGGTTAAGGTAAAGAATTAGATCCAGGGTTTTTATCATGAAATGATATCAACTATAATGCCAAACCTCTAGCCAAATATATGAGTGAATTTCGTGCCAAAATTCGAGATCTATTATCTTATATCTGATTGGTTCGTCCATAAATTATAGTCTCGCTGAATTTTCTTCAAGATAAGTGTAAATTCAACGTAACATTTGAATATGAAAAACTGTGGACTATAATAAAGCTGAAAGAATCCATGCTCAAATAATCAAAACACATGTCTACATCCTGTTATATCTGTATCGATATTCTCATTGAAAATTTATGGAGTTGAAGCACCGTTATTTTGGTTGGATCAAGTTGTAATTTATTAATTGTCTATATAATAAACTAAAAATATTTTTAAGTATGAGTAATTTATAAATAAATAAATTGAAAGACGTACTCTTTAATCACTTACTATGCATCACTTGTAAAAATGATTTGGCAATGTGAATCATGTTAGGTAATAAAAGACGATTTAAGACAAACTATTGTGGCTGACAAGTACTTTTCATTATCCTATTTTATGTTCATTCCATTTAACACTTAGAAAAATAGACAAGACTATAGGAGAATTTCTTTTATACTTGTCACTTCACATGATGATTTACAGTAGAAATTTTGATTCACATATTCTGTTTTCTATATACAAGAACCATACTCAAATTTACTTTTACGAACTAAATATGATCAATATAATAAATGTATTTAATAAGTGATTTATTGTCAGTTAAATGTACTAAAAAAATCTTGATAAACGTCTTCTGGATCGTAAATGTTCACTGGTTTTTCAGTTAAACATATTCGACTTTCTAAAGGATTCTACTTGAATATTTGTTTTTCAGTTTATCGTATGTAATGTGATGACTTTTATAAAAATTCTTATTTCTGCTAGGAATAAACTGATAAGAAAGTATAAATACATGTCTTTTATCAAATAATAAACTACATTGAGATATAAAATCGATCTAAGTTACACCACCACTGAAAACCTGGAATCACTGGATGGCTGTTCCATCCCAATATACGGCTCCTTTGAAGTGCGCATACATGACAGCACAACTAGGAGCCGAAATTAGGATATAGCGTCTCGCATAGATGCTGAACCTCTAGACCACTGAGTGGAGATCTGATGCTATACATGCCTAACTCCAATTAACCCACGATATTGTAAGATCATCTTTCATTGTCTTCAGAGGATAGTTTCTCACATCCAACACGGTTTGGTTCTACTAATCCCTGGCTCTTGCTAAAACCTCAAAAATTGGGGTTATGACTAAGTAGTGCTGAAGAGTCCTGTAGTAGGACGAAACGGATGTCCGGTATTTTCGCATTCTCATTAGTCGCTCAACTTAGATCGGTTTGTGATTGCAGTGGAATTAAACAATCTTCACAACCCCATACTAACAAATAATGGATCAGTGATGAGAACATTTCAAGGATTTTAACTCCAAATTGAAAGCCAGAAATTCAAAGTAACTGACTGACATAACTACAAATTGTATTAAAACTTTAAAAGGATAGAATTAAACAAATTTTAACTGATAGCCGTAAAATGTAGGGAAGCCTGTAAATGAGACCGTAAAATATAGAAGTTTAGAAATCCTAAAATGAAAAGAAATATATCCATATCAAGTATTAATCCGATTACTTTACAATTAAGTATCTAAATAATCATTAATAAAGTTAACAGTGTTAAAATCATGATTGTGATGTTTATATTAGGTAAATGTGATATGCCTTCAATCTGAAGAACTATGACGATCTCGATAGCTATGAAGACAGGTTTATAATTATTAACCACGTCATAGACCTACAGGGACGAATATTTACAAGTTCTATTTAATTGTTTGCTAAAATTAAATCACAGTGTTTATTATTTCTATTAACAGACTCAAAGACGTTTTTGAAAGACTTTAAACATAAATTTATTGATTCAGACGAGATGCAAACGATGTAGAATAAAGTAAAATGGACGTATGATTAGCTGTAATATTTCAGACAAAAAGGTTTTGAAACTTCAGTCTTTTAGAATAAAAGTCAAGAACTAAACTTTTTACCTTTCACTAAACGTTTTTTGAATAAACATTTTTGAACACGCTGTCCACAATGAACCTTATTTCTACTAATATTATTTATTTACAGATCCCCCAGATACACCTAAGATTACTGGTTATAAAAGTGGCCAACCAGTGAACATGGCTCATCTTTTGGAATTTACGTGTACTACCACAGGTGGCAATCCACTGCCTGAACTCCAGTGGTTTAAAGGTAAGTATAGTTTAAGTAACAATTTACTATGATTATTGCTTAGTTGAATAGTCATTAGTATTCTTGCTAAAAATATCTTATTATTTACATAGATATTTTGTTTTCCTATGGTTTGTACCATATATCAACAGAATTGAAAGTAGCTTGTTGTTTATTCCTACTGAATGTCGAAATAAGTTTAATCAACAAAATAAAAGTTGTTAGTCAAGTAACAGATATAAATTAGCAAACCAAACGCATTGAATACACAGGTTGTTAGGGAACAGATTTTAAGAGGCATTCTCTAGTTTTGCTTCTCAACTAAATTTACCCAGTGTTTTTAATGATTTATATTATGCTTCTAAACGTTTGAGAAATAATTCATCATTGTATTACATCAAACGTATAAAAGTTTTACATTAAATGTAATACTTATCATTTGCTTTTTGTTCAACCTTTTTCAACTCACCTAAAACAATGTACTTCATCCCATTGATTCATTTTCGTCCGTTGAAAACAAATTAGAATTCAGTTTAGACAAAGTAATCTACCATAAACGATTACAGAATGTTACGTTTTGTCATGAGAATAACTAATCCATGCGCTAAATCATCATCATGATTAAAAGCGAAGCAAATGTCTATTAAAATTTAGCGAATAGATATAATATATGACTAAATACTTAATCAATGAAAGTGATATTACTGGTTTTATTCAATTGTCTGAGTAAGATGACATAACTACTAAACGAGAGCATCATATCTATATTTTATGTTACCGGATAAAATGAACGTAATATTGTAAGTCCAATAAAGGTCATACATTTGATTATGTAGGACCAAGATTCAATGGAACATTCATCTATTTATCAAATTTATTTAATTATGTTTGTTTAAATTACTAAATATAAATAATTTGACTGCATATTTCAGTAGTTTGCTATAAATAAGGCAAACTGATATTGCATTTAAATCCAATTTAGATATCTTTACCCTATCTAAATTCTGATATTGTTTAGTATGTTACTAAGTTTAAATACAATTAAATAAATTCTAATTTTCGGCTTAAACTTGTTATGTTTATCAGGCGTTTTCAATAATACTTTAATTTAGCCATAGAAGTGGCCAACTGCTGTAATAATATTTCGACACGTTCAACAACTACATTATAATATCTAGAATATGTAAACGACTTACCGATGAATAATCCGTATTATCGAATAGATTTCTATCTTTATTAAAACAAATTGCTTCATTCAATGCTTTAACTCAAATAAGTTAAATGACTTATAGCTTTTATCAACGATTTAAAAAAATTCGGCTTTCTACTGATCTCAGTACGTTTCAACTCAGGATGTGCATTTCAGATTAAAACTTGAAGCATGACTATAGTTTATGCTTCTTTTTGCTTAACTATACAAATATAGTTTATCAATCAAATCCCTTTCAGTGAAGTTTTATTGAATGAGACATAAATCAATTATTAGAAAATAATAATAAGTCAATGGCATTAAATCAATTAAAAGAAAATCCAAGAAGGCTAAGATCACTTTGATAACCCTCTTTAATCTATTGATATATGTATATCTTTGTGATAATGGATACATTTTTCTACATTGCACATTTACATTATATAGATAAAAAACCGATCACAAACACTGGTGAACCGATTGTTATTGGAAAACAAACTACTATTAAACTAAAGCTTGTACCACAAAAAGAAGATAACGGTGCTGAATATCAGTAAGTTTTATTACATGAAGTTTGTCCTTACTTTTATCATTCGAATCCTGAATAATCAAAATAATTTTTCACAAATCTTTTTTTTATTTGAAATTCATAATTAGTTTAGATGATCAGTTAACTTCATTATTAGTTGAAAACATCTTATAACTACTAGTGTTACGATTGCATGGAAACTATTTTAATGAATATCAGAATTTTATAGCCGGATTATTATTACTCCCATAATTATAGATAATATATATTTACATTATGCATACAATGGTTCACACTTCTTATTCAACTTCTAGTCATTACTTACTTACTTACGCCTGTTACTCCTAATGGAGCATAGGCCGCCGACCAGCAATCGCCAACCCACTCTGTCCTCGCCCTTCCTTTCTAATTCCATCCAATTTTTGATCAATTATTCTCATATCTGTCTCCATTTATCGGCATAATGTGTTCTTTGGTCTTCCTATCCTCCTTTGGCCTTGAGAATTTCATGTGAGGGCTTGTCTTGTGATGCAGTTGGGGGCTTTCCTCAATCTGTGTCATATCCACTTCCAGAGCTTCTTCCTGATTTTTTCCTCCTCTAGCATCTGATTTGTTCTTTCCCACAGTTGGTTGTTGCTAATAGTGTCTGGCCAACGGATGCGAAGTATCTTGCGTAGACAGCTGTTAATAAACACTTGTATCTTCTGGATGATGGCTTTAGTAGTTCTCCAAGTTTCCGCCCCCTACAGTAGAACTGTCTCGATATTTGTATTGAAAATCCTGACCTTGGTGTTGGTTGACATTTGTTTTGAGTTCCAGATGTTCTTCAATTGTAAATATGCTGCTCTTGCTTCACTGATCCGCACTTTCACATCTGCATCGGACCCACTATGTTCTAGACATTAACAACTCAAAAAACATGATCATTCTATTCATTTATTTTATAGATTTGAACCGAAGCTTCCTAAAATATTGAGTATTTTTTAGAAAATACAATTTTATTTGGGCTTATCACTTAATTTAAAAATAACTACTTCACTATAATATTATTGGTAATATACATACACTAGGTGTTAACAACTACAAACTATTCATACATTGACAAAGAACACATATTGTATACTAAATTCCAGAATTGTAATATATGATGAATATTCACTAGTTGAAATTATGAGTCAATTGAAGCTAGACCACCATGGAAAACCTAGAAGCACTGAACGGCCGTTTCGTCCTCCACAAAACCCATTCTGATAATAACAGTCACCTGCCCACTAGTGATTGACTTCAAGAGATACTCCTGTAGTTCTAGTGAAAAGTCATTACCAGTGGAGTTCAACCAGGTCTGTTGTGAGATAGGAACTCAGTGAAGACAATGGTGTACGGTGGAGCAACCTCGTGGATTGGTTGAAGTTAGACATTAGTATTGTTGGATGCCCGGCTCAGTGATCTAGTTGGTTAAGCGCTTGGCGCGACACTGATTGGTCCCATGTTCGAATCTCGTGGGGTCGGGTTCGTGGATGCGCACTGGTGAGGAGTTCTATATTAGAACGAAATAGTCGTTCAGTACTTTCAGGTTTTCCGTGACTGTCTAGCTTCAAATGACTCATGGTTTCAACCAGTGAAATTTCTAAAACTCTCCACAAAACTCATTCTGATAATATAATGAATTGTTATTGCATCAAAAGAAAATAATGATAACAACATACACATTCACAACTTCATCAAAATCAATCACCTAAGCTACAAATCTTCTCCACCACTATTGTATTTCTCTATTTAGACATTCCGACTACATACCTTATTTGTTATCTCATTTTTTAACTAATTTTATTCAAAATCAATCTTTATTGCCTAAACCTATCCATTATTAATCTTATAAAGCCTTCATATAATTATTAGCCTTTTATTTTCTTTTGTTTCTTCGTCGCAACTGTCTATAAAGAAAAAAACAAAACAAAATAAAAAGAATTAAAGCTGATTTTTTTCTCATGTTTAATACTAGTTCTATACTACTTATTTTTTATTAATTATTATGATTATGATTGTACGCTATTGTTGTTTTACTTTATGATTTCCGTTTTCTTTCACTTAATTTTAGTTATGTTACGCTTTTATCATAAAACACATAGTAACTAAAGCCGGTACATGATTCTGTTAAGTTTATTTTATTTATTACGTTTATTTATTTATTTATTTATCGGTTTGTCTAGAACTTTTGATTCTACTGAACAATAAGACCAAATTTTTTTCTTGTAACGAAAGAAAACCCATTTACAATTAAAACAAGAATTACATTGAAAGTTCTAGCTTTAAAACAAGCTAAAATGCCAATCCTATTCAACCTAATTTTATTATTATTATTATTGTTCTCAATTGGTTAACGCTACTACTTACAAGTACTTCTGTATTCTAATCATAATTAAGTGAAGTATGTTTTCTTATCCTGTTGTAATATGTTAAAATAACTCATTTTTGTTTATTAAGAAAAATAGATTCTGATATAATTAGTAACAAACAGAATTATTATCATTAAAGTTTCTATGGTAAATAAGATTGAGAATTGAATAAAACTCTTAATAAATACATTAAGTTTTATTTATTTTCTTTAAATATACCTACATACCTCCATGCTTGAAATGTACTAACTTAAAGAACTTTATTATCTATACTTAGATTGATGAATAAATTATATAGTTGAATAAGTAGATCTTTTATATAGAAGTGTTCATAACAACTTTAGACATTATTATGGTTTAATTAGTTAATAATACACACAATATCAGACATGTATATTTCCGTTCTTTATTGTTATTAGATATAATCTGAATCAATGTAAATTGACACCAGTAAACTAATTACAGTTTATAATCATTAAATATATATATCAACAACTTTTATGGATAAATGAATATCTATATAAAACAGTTGATTCTATTATTGAAATGGTATTAGCTTCGGATTAAAAACAAAAACATTCTGCCAAGTTTATTACTGAACACTATTGTACATTGATATATTCTTGATAAATCATTCTTATTTCATTGAATGGGGAATAAAAAGCTGGTATATAACGTTTCTTTTTTGTAAAACATGTCACTGATAAGTTCATAAGACATTTAAATTCCTTAGTGACTACTTATCTAGCGATGAAAAATATCACACTTTAACTTACTTATTGATTAAACTTTCTCTAATGTTGAGACAAGAAAAATGAATATGGAATTACATCACATTAACATTCTATTTCATGGTGTAATTAAATTGCCGCACAACAACAAAACTGAATAAATAAAATCGATCATCTTTGACAATAATACAACAATAAAACTTATGAAAACTACCGTAACCTTTAACTAGTCACCCTGAGCCATAGTCTCTTGAAATATATATAATATCTGTTAGGAATAGGTTTGTTTCGAACAGAAGTACGAAATTCATTCAATATATTACAAAGTACATAACCTTGAATTGAATAATTCTCATTTCATATATCTCTTGAAACCAAATAAAAGAACATTTCTAGCGAAATAATACATAATATTCAATTTTCATTCTATTGCATATTATTCAAAATGATCTTTTGTAGAATCTAAATTTGATACTAAATCCTTTCATGATACTTCTCTACAAAATTGGACAGTTTTAGTGAAATTCTATCTGATTGAATATGCAGTAAATTATATCTATTGAATAAAATGATGAACATAAAACAATAGGAGTTCAACCAGCTCTCTTGTGAGATATCAGCTCACTGGATACAATGGTGTTTGGTGGCGCAACTTCGTGGATTGGTTGAAGTTAGACATTAACACACCGTTGGATGCTGGCTCAGTGGTCTAATGGTTGAGTGCTCGCGCGCGAATCTCGCGGGGTGCGCGTTCGTGGATGAGCACTGCCAAGGAGTCCCATACTAGGGCGAAACGGTCGTCCCGTGCTTCCAGGTTTTCCATGGTGGTCTAGCTTCAATTGACTCATAATTTCAACCTGTGAAATTTCCTAAAATCTCCGCAAAACTTATTCTGATAATAGGATTATTCATAACGACTAACTAACAAAAAAATGAGTCATTCAGCTGATTATGAACTTATAAATGGTACTTACATCGGTAAAAAGTATAATCATACAATAAATTTCAGGGAAAACAAGTATGCGAAATATATGTTTGATATAACTCTGTATTTTATTTGTCTAGTGTATGCCAATACACACAGACATCAAACACATATCATACTAATTTTTATCCATTTATTTTTACATACTTATTCACAGTTGTTCAGCTCGTAACACTGCAACAAACAATGAATGGATAGATAGTGAAGCTATAATTTTAAATGTTTTATTTCCACCACAACGAGTAAGTTTAAATTTTGGCGGTAAATCGGTAGTTCAAAGTGGTGAACAACTTGAAATCAACTGTCAAGCAGATAGTTCAAATCCAGTTGCTGTTATCACATGGCGTCATTATCAATGTGGACCAGCTCATGCGTTTTATCGACGTCATTTATTACAACAACAACAAAAATTACCAAAATCTAGTAGTAGTACAAATGAAGGGGAAAAGTGTAAATTATTAGAACTAAAAGGTAACATTAATTACTATCAATGACTGTATGATCATTTCTATCTCTTCAAACAGTTTTTTTTTTAAAGTTTTAGTGGAATCACATAAAATGTTTATTGAAAGCAGATAAATTCACTGTTGGTAAACTAAATCAACATAATTGCTAAATTTTGAATGGTATATTTTGTGAAGAATTTTTTAATTCCATCATTACAGATATTTAATCAAACAACTCGAATAAAGATGGTTGTGATGTTGCCATTAAAGATACAATTTTACAGAATAGATCCAATTTCATTTAACGTAATTTAACTAAAACAAACGATTACGTCTTTGAGAATGATGTTTTTGATTTGATAATCCTTAAGAATTAGTGTAGTTATCAGAATGGGTTTTGTGGAGATTTTAGAAATTTCACAGATTGAAATCATGAGTCAGTTGAAGCTAGACCACCATTGAAAACCTGAATGCGTACTGCTTAGGAGTCCCATACTAGGATGAAACGGCCGTACAGTGCTTCCAGGTTTTCAGTGGTGGTCTAGATTCAACTGACTAATGATTCCAATCTGTGAAATTAGTGTAGTTCTTTATAAAGGATTATTGTTGGGCATTACTGAAGGCATTAAACAGTACAACGATGTAGCACTGTTCAATAATTTCATTGAAACTTGTTATGACGTATGCTATTAGTAAATATATGTTAGTGACAGGATTTTATTAACATCAGTCATAAAAATTCTAAATTATTCTAGACGTTATTACTGGTCATTTTCCGTTTATTATGAAACTTGCTATAAAGATTTTAAAAGATTTCACATCCATCTTTAATGTATGGAAACATAGATTCCACTTTACTAATTATTCGTTACAAGACAATAACGCTTCAACCGTATTTGCTTGATTTCATACAATTAAACAAAAAGAGTAGATGCGTCATCTACAAGATTACATCACAACTTTCTAAAGAAAAGAAAATGTGTTACAATAACAAATGACAGTTTCGACTTGATGAAGACTTAACGGAAGCCAGGGTGCTCTATTTTAACACATAAAGTCGAACCCAGATAATAGTGTCTAATTCGTTTACATGACTTATTCTACCCATCGTAATATAATAATTATGGACTTATAACTACAGAGTCTGATAAAGAAGTCATCGAAGACAATTATTCATTTCCACATTGTTTGTTCCTAAATACATTATGTGGTTTTAAATTATATCCTGTGTACACAGTTTGAAGAAGATTTTGGAAAATTTAATAACAATAAGGAGACTATAATGGTCGAATCCATTAATTTGCAATTTTGGCTTCTTGTGTACGTTTGGCACAGAAAAGTTAATAAATCAGATAGTAAGAAAAAAAATTCAAAAATAGGCCTTTACTATTGATCAGAATTTAGAATTATCCTCTTAGTTACGCAAGTATAATTAACCGAAAATACATACAACTGTCTAAGTCTTACTATACAATTTTGTAAGCTACATATTTATTCGTTTTTATTTGGAACTCGTATTTTTTTAATGAATTTCTAGTTACTACAACTTCATTACTTGGTTAAATCTGTTGAAGTTCTGAAAACGTCATCTGAAAATATAAAATATTCCATTATACATACCGGAACATTGTGTTTATAGACATTGTCTGACGGCTTTTGTTGTGTAGTCCACCGTTTGTTAATATGATATGATTTTAAAGGTAGAATTCACATATTTTTGTGATTGTTTATAGACTATTTGGATATTATGTGTTGTAAATAATATCAAGCGGACTAAAAATAAAGTTTGATTTATGATTTATATAATAGAAATCCAATGATTATCTTTCGAACTAGGTTCCGACGAAACTCCTATTCCTGGAGCATCCGGTGGTTTATTAGCCAGAAGTCATTTATGGCTACGTCCAACTTGGAGATATCATATGGACTTTATTGAATGCCAAGCGGAGAATCCAGTTTATGGTCCACCTATTTGGCATGATAGACTTCAATTAAATATCACATTTGCACCACAATTCTATGGGCTTCAAGTAGGTGATCACCGAGTAATACGAGAAGGTAAGTGAAAATTTTATAAGAAAACGTTATGTCTAACTGACTCTAATGTTAATTCTAAATTGATTCAATCATATATCATTGAGTTGACAAAACTTATTTTATCCACTTGTTTTGATTACGGAACATGTATCTTCACTTGTAACTTCCTTTTAAATATATTATTTGGTGAGACTATAATTTATGGACGACCTTTGAGCAGCGTTAGGATCACCTTGAAACTGTCCATTTAATAACCAGTACCAAATGAGGGTAACAAACCAGTGTGAGGAATTACAATTATCATTTACAGTTGATGGTTAAGAATTAGATCCAGGGTTTTCATCATGAACTGACATCAGCTATAATACCAAAACTCTATCTAGCCAAATGGATAAGTTAATTTCGTGCCAAAATCCGAGACCTATTATCTTATATCTGGTTGGTTCGTCCATTTCATTTTTATAGCTCAACATAATTGTTGTATTTCAAAAATAAAGAACATTTAAGCTTATAGTTGTTTTCAAATAATCTGTCATCAAACTCTTTAATTCATGAAAATTATTTTTGCCAAAACAACCACTATATTCCCTATTAACAATGATTATAGGTTTACTTCGCACTAACTTTCAAAGACAATTAATGAACTTCTAGTGACTAAAAATGTTCAACCTTGTTGCCAGTGAAAGAAATATCACAAACGATAATGGACTATGGTCTCTCAACAATGGAGAACAACTAATATCAAAAAGGTTGACGACCGTATTTTAACCCAGTAATCTGAATTGTAAGTGTTCAAAATGAGATCTGAACTTTCCGAGTTCAGTTATTGGAAGATAAAGTACAGTATCATGCTAAGATCAAGCATCTACCCAGAGTTTCTTAATTTTCAATAGTTGTCTTGTTGAAGTCAGTCAGTGATCAGAATTATCTAAATATTCCGTTACTAAAGCCACTACGTTAGAGTATAAATATAAAATCGATTAGTAATGAAGATTAAGAATAATGAATCTCACTGCGGTTACTTCATAAATAATTGCAATTTGAGTTATCAGTTTGAGTTTTCTGTAAGAAAAGGTTGAGGAAGATTCACTATATAGTGGTGTGCTACTATAAATAGAGTTAAATAATGTTGACCATATATGAAACATAGTATTCCGTTTGTCGTGATTATTGCGATACTAGTGATAGTAATATCGTACCAATCAGTATACAATTAAGAATTCATTATGGTCAAAGCTAGACCAAGGAACCATTACACCAAATATTTTATAAAAATGAATAAATAACATTTTCTATTCAATCCTAGTGTACGAATTAGTGAATGCTTAATTATCATAGATAGTTGCGAGACAAAGGAACCTGTATTATTTTGTTGCATCACTTGAAATAACTGAACAAAGCTGTGACTTCAGCTGATTTCCATACAGTGATCCGTAAGTGAATGTGTGTATTCTAGTGATAATTCGACTGAACTGGTAAAACACTTCCAAACTGTACAGTTTTGGATCATTCATTAAATAGTATTATGATTAATTAGACAAAATAAAAGGATATCATTCTACAATTTCGAATAAAGGAACATCAAATTATCATATCTTAATGCGGAGGAAGAATTTCAAAATATTTGGTTTACATCATGAAATAAACTTACTCAAACAACTAGCCAAATCCAAGAAGCTTTGGACAGTTGTTTCTTTCTAGTATAGAACTCATCAGTGCACACCCACTACTCTATACAAGTTCGAATCTTGAACTTTCAGGTCTTCCTGTTAGAGCTCAAACTAGAAATCTCTAAACCGTTTACATATGAATCTTTAATCAGTTCGTAATATACCGACAGATTATGTCTCTAACTCTACTTGGTTGTCATGGAGATGGATTTAAAAACTTGTTTCTGACATATGTTTTTGTTGTCACACTGAACATATTAGGAAGAAAAATCCATTTTAGACGTTTTTTAGTGTATAAACTTTTAAAATGAGCTAATATAAGATAACTAATACTAGTGATTATTGATAAAGATAGATGCAAATTCATATACATCTGCATTATATAAATATTCCTTTAAAATTATGTAACACTCTGTGTAATATAGAAATATTATTCTAATCAAGCTTTTCAAGTAAAATAAATCTGTCTCCAAGAAAAATCATTTACACTGACATTTTTTTCTAGAAAGTAAAGTAATCCGATTGAATAGTGAAAGAGACATGAATTGATTATTCACTTTCTTCTTATCCTTTAAAATAGTTTGTTACTAAAGTCAATTTTAACATTGACATATTGAAGAAAATTAATTTACTTAAGATTTACTTGAATGATGTAATTCATTCATTTAATGTATCATAAATAATAATAACGATGATTAATAATGATGATGTTGTTAAATAAAATGAAGAAACTATTAGAAACTATTAAATATTCCCAAGTATTGAACAATAAGTTGCTTAATAGTTTTAGAAGTAATTTATAAAAAAAAATATAAAAGGTAAGTGTTGATTTGACTGATTGATTGATTGACTGAATGGTAAAAATTAAGAATATAGCATGAACTTCCGATAATGATAAAGTAGTAAAATAGGAGAGATACTTTTCATAGACATGTAATTACTGTAGCTTGAACCATTCGAAAATTACTAATCTTAACCCTATTTGGGTCATTATAAGCAAAAATAGATGATGATTATCAATGGAATCTAGAACACACGTTTCGCACTATTTGAGTCTCATCAACTAGATGTACTTGCATCTCGAATTTGATATTTACTCTGTTAACTTTGTCATATTGTCGAAATCACTACGGTTGTAATTCCCATGATAATCTTACATTAATCCGAACATCATATAAAATTAAATAGTAACAAATGATTGTTACTTCCTCTCATGATGTTCATTGTAACTTTCATAAAAGCATCTCTGAAAATAGTTTGAAAATTAAATAACGATTATAAAGAATGTCAGTTTCTATAAAACTTTCATTAACATTTTTTTCTCTGGTCATATACATTTCCAGTCATTTCAAACCATTTACAAATTATTGATCAATAGTTTCTAGGCTTTAATAAAAATTTTTTTTCTTAAATCACCCCCCATCACCTATTAAATGTAATTTTACTCGTCTTATTTAAAATATGTACTTCTAGTTTATGATTTCCTGTTTCTAACCTATAGTTAATGAATTCAATTTGATTTCTTTGCTACATTTTATTTAAAACTTCCTTAATTTGTAAAATTATCTCCATGTTAGTTTAAAATTTACATAAAACATACTATACATTATGTGCATGTATATCATCATCAATGAATAAATGAAGTAATTCCAATAAAGAAAAAAAAATCTCTATGAAAAACTTAGTTGGAAACTTATTCTCCTGTGAAAATAAAAACAATTTAGGTTTTAAAATTCCTCTGAATCTTGTACAATTGATTGTAAAAGAAAAATTCATCATGTTATAACTAATGCATTAAACATTTGTTTATTTGCAAAATCCTCAAGTATTGAATTAATTATTTTTAATTTTCATAGTCGAATTTATGAGTCACTCAAAGTTAGATCATCTGAAAAACCTTAATTGAGAACGCTTGATTTCTAGACTGATAGGTTCTGGGTTGGAATTGTGGATGTGCACAGCTGAGGAGTCCTGCAATAATACGAAACAGTCGTCCAGTGCTTCCAGATTTTACATGACGGTCTAGCTTCAATTGACTCATGATCTCAACTATTAAAATTATTTAATAGCTAATATTAGTATTACGAATAATTCATATGTTCGCTTAGATAAATAATCAATCACCATGACACAATGTAGGATATATATGTTAATATACTAAGTCATGATTTATTGATTTTGGCTTATTTCAACTGAAGTTTTCCTTTTAAAAAGAAATAAGTAGAACATAAACATGAATGATTCTTTTATTTTATTTTATAAAATCTAACTAAATCAATTAGAAAATGAAATTTCCTTCTCCATTATATTAAGTGTTTGTTGTTTATTTTTTTTTTTGTTTAAATAAAAGTAAATAAATACTTTTCACAGTTTAAATAAGGTAACAAAATTATTTATGTAACTATAACTACAAGTTGATTTTTTGTCCTTTTTTTTATTTTTCGCTTGCAATTCATTGGCCTTTACATTGATAATAATAATAATAATAATAATAATAATAATAATAATAATAATAATAATCATGTAAATTGTCTTCATAAGGATTGTATTTAGTGTTTCTTAATGTTACATGTAAATAAGAAGATGGTTTTTTAAATACATGAACAATAAATTCACTTAGATAAAAATTAAGTTTACTTAGGTTTAAATAATTTTTGGTTAGTGTATTTTTTAGCGAGTTACTTTTCTACAGGATGGGGTTGCTAACCTCATGTCCAACCCTCCTCCTTTATCCGGGCTTGAGATTGGCAATAGCCCACGGAGGGACTCTAGGCGGAGTTAAGAATTAAAATTAATAAAATAATATTTCTTTATAGAAAAATAAATGATTATTTGCTTACCATATTGGATATTAGATGATTCATTCCAACTTATTATATATATTTGTTCACTTTTAGATTATGTATTAGTATAAATGAATATTGATGAAAGAGATTTTAATGTTGAATAGCTGAAAGAAACGTAATGCTTTGAATTTGTAATTGCTTTCTTTCATCTGTAACTGTTGTTTAGATTCATAAAGAAAGGAATGTTTTTTTTCAGAATTTGAAACTTATGTCATACTACACAGTGGATGGATGAATTATTAGTGACATAGCCGAAACATTATTAACTCTTTCATATATGGTAATAGTTTATCGAATGGTAAAGCTAGTCGTCTTCAAATGTAGCGCTTGAAAAGTACCATATGCTACTGAGTATAAACTTGATGAAACGTGTGATCCATCACTAGTTTGATTTTGAACACTTTTATCAGCGCTGTTTTTCTTAATACTAATATACAAAGTTAGATATTTAAGTTTTTTGTGGTAAACTGGTTAGTTTGAACGTGATTTTCAATAGAGATTAACATCAGAGAATAATTAAAATGTAAATTATTCTAGATAATCCTTTGATTCTTGTTTACAACTCCACATCACTGTCTATCCAATGATTATGCTTCACTAAGTTTTGTATCTTCAGGTCTCTATTAGAATAAAATATCCTTAATATACGTAATTGACATATGAACGTCAATAAAGCTCACATACAGCATATTGTAACTAATATTTCATGTTATTTAACCTAAACTATCTGATCCTATGAAAAATGTGAACTTTGCAAACATAAATTTTCAGTATATTTACATTCAACGACGTGGCACATTTTATCGACTTCACTAATTGTTTACAGTTTTTAACATTTCATAGGTGTTAATAAAAATCCACCAATCTCAAACTACATGAACATTTTGTTGCTTTATATAACATATATTTATTACGATGGCGATTTTTCTATTTGATTGTTTTATTTTCACAGTTGAATTCACTAGTCAACTTAAGCTAGACCACTATTGAAAACCAAGTATCTATACTAAGATTAAACGACCATCCAGTGCTTCCAAGTTTTCAATGGTACTTACTTACTTAGGCCTGTTACTCCTAATGGAGCATAGGCCAACAACCAGCTTCTACAACCAACTCTGTCCTCGCCCTTCCTTTCTAATTCCATCCAATTCTTGTTCATTTTTCTCATGTCTATCTCAATTTCTCGCCGCAATGTGTTCTTCCTCTTCTCCTCTAGCCCTGAGGATTCCATGTGAGGGCTTGTCTTGTGACGCAGTTGGGTGCTTTCATCAATCTGTGTCCTATCCACTTCCAGTGCTTCTTCTTCATTTCCTCCTCTGCTGGAATCTGTTTTTTCGCCCCCACAGTAGGTTGTTGCTAATAGTGTCCGACCAACGGATCTGAAGTATTTTGAGCAGACAACTGTTAATAAACACTTGTATCTTCTGGATGATGGCTTTGGTAGTTCTCCAAGTTTCCGCCCCATACAGTAGAACTGTCTCGACATTTGTATTGAAAATCCTGACCTTGGTGTTGGTTGACTCCGCCTGGAGTCCCTCTGAGGGCTACTGCCGGTCCCATACCCGGATAAAGGAGGAGGGTTGGGCATGGGGTTAGCGACCCCATCCCGTAGAAAATTTACTCGCTAAAAAAGCGCTAACCAGAAAAGCGTTTTCAATGATGGTCTAGCCTAAATCGATTCATCCACTCAATTGTAAAAATAAAACATTCTCTACAAATTCACATATCGTTTGTTTTATGTTTAGCTAGACTACATAAGTTTTTGAATTCCATCCATTATATGAAGTTAATTGAGGATTCGTTCACTAATCTTATTCTTTTTGAAAAACATTCATTAAAAAGATGATACAACACTTGATTCTCTGGAAAACAAACAAGCATAAGAGTATATTCGACAATATTTCCTTGATATATCAATTAATTATAAAAACAGTCTACCTATAATACATTCAACTAATAGAAACCTGGTATAAACAAGATATTAACTCGATTTTTGTGATTTTTCATGAGTATGAAACAAACAATGATTACAATATTGGTTTTTTTTAGTTACGATTCAAGAGACTATATAGATAGAATAGTAAAACTTTTGATGTGAATAAATGGTCAAAGATATAGTTGACTAGCAGTTATCTGACACGGAAATCTAGTATCATATTGAAGTCACTTTAATTAAATTTAAGAGTTAAAACATGGTACAAAATATCCGAAGACTATACTTCAGTCAGAAGAATAATAATTTCCAGATAATTAAGTTTAATTACAATAAGAAAATAATTAAATTAAACTGAAAAGCATCTATCATTAATGACTTGTAGTAAAGAAATTTGGATAGAATAGTATAACATTTATCTTTTGTTTTTTTCTGAAAATAACATTTCACCTAGACGTAATACTTGTATAACAAACCTTGTTTTAGTATTATGAATAATATTACAATACTATCTAAAATCTCAGCATAAAGACGGAAGTGGACTTCCTGTAGTCTAATTCGCAAAACAATGAAAATGACAGGTAAACAAACTCTTATTTATCAGTAGTACAGCCATTACTGAATACTCTTAACAGTTAGATTGACGTGACAAGTTTTGACTTGCTTCAATTTACTTCATATACAATTGGATTAAAATTACATAGATGAGGTTATGGATGTAAGTTACCATAAGATATAACACAGAATGTGTTAAAATAGGTCCAGCTTGAAACTGAAGTATTATAAGAATAGAAATATAGAATTTCGATTAGGAAAGAGGATTACTGGATAAAAACAACAGACAAATCTCAATGAATATACGATTATCAGAATGGGTTTTGTGGAGATATTTTAGAAATCTCGCTGGTTGAAATCATGAGTCAATTGAAGCTAGACCACCAAGGAAAACCTGGTCTAGCTTCAACTGACTCATGATTTCAACCAGTGGAAAATACGGTTGTCTTAGACACGTTAAAGACTTTTCACTACTATGAAAATTGAAATATCACTTCGAGTTTATCTATTTTTAACAAACTATTTTCTTTCTGTCATTTAGTTTATTCACTTCATTTGATTAAATAACATTTAGAGACTATAGTTTTCAGTTTTATCATGAAACATAATTCTGATTAAAAATATATATTTATCTGACAATAGTCAAGATAACAACTTCAAGTTACATAATCGTTACTTTTAACATAATGAAATAACTCAATGCACAATTACTTATCACAAAATTTATTGGATCTTATAAAATGTCAAAGATCAACATTAACAATTCATGAAAAATTAAAATTAAACAATAAAGAGAAGAGAGGAGTCCTATAATGAGATGAAACGGTCGTCCAGTGTCTCCAAGTTTTCCATGTTGATCTAGCTTCAATTGACTCATGATCTCAACCATTGGTATTAATAATAATAGTTTAATTTTTATATCATACAAATGGAAACAGTAACATTTTTCACAAAGAGAATTATAATTGTCAATCGTAACGATTGCTTTATATCACAATATAACTGATGACATTAAGATATTGATAAATTACATATTTGGGTTATACTAATGATCTAAATCTCACAATATAAATAGTCAGTTATTGTTGATAAATTACTTGAAAATTGTGTTTTCTTTTTCAGGTGAAACGACTCATCTAGACTTTGGATTATATGCAAATCCTCCAGTTACATCTGTTTCATGGTTTCGTAATGATCAATTACTTCCATTTGAACCGAAAGAAACTGATACATGGCAAGGTGTTTTTGCAGCTGGTTCTGTTGGAGAACTACTTTCATTACATAAAATTAATCGAGAAAATATGGGCAATTACACAGTGGTAGTTTCTAATTCACAACATGAATCACGAAATACATTTTTTCTTAATGTTACATGTGAGTTGTTAGTCCCATTAAAAAAAGATTTTTCTTATTGATATAAACGATCATACGCATAGAACGTCATCTCATTTTTTAACCACAGTTAGAAATTGGATACATTTGTCTATTACTACTGTGGAGTATTACCACTAGTGAATAAACGGCTGTGAATATATAGAGTTCAGTCTTTGAATAAAAGCTTTTAAAATTATTCTGTACAATGAGTCCCGAAATGCGTTAGTAAGGAATTTTTACTTAGATGACCACTTCATAAAAATGGCCAAACTTTTAGAAAAATACCTACCTACTTACTACGAAGTAACCCATTCTTTGTACTGTATTTAATGAGAAATATACAACCTATTAAATCAATAGATGGTATATGTGTGTGTTTAAAATGGTTATTTTACCCTAAAATAAACAGGCACTTTATTGTAGAAATAAAAAACTTCGGTAAACAAGGCAAATCAAGCTAGATAAAGTGAAAATAGAAAACGGATTCTGTTTTAAAAACATACAAATCATGTGTCTTTCGTCTCATTCTTACTTCTGATATAAATGGTCCATGAGTTTTGATATGTTACATATAAATATGACTACCATGTATTGATTTTAATAGTGGAGCTTTTAGTTCGAGAAAGTGCCGTCTGGAATGCTAGCGTACTCTGGTTTAAGTATGTAATCTATGTTTTACAAAATGTTTGTCAAATATGAGTGCATTAAAATAATAGCTACAATTTTCAAAAATACAAATCAATTTAATAGTTACCTTTGTTCTGAAATCCCAAAGCAACTAATCTTAAATAATGCTGTTGTATATATCTATCCTTCAAGCTACACTTCTCCCTTTTCTTAATTTAGTTTCTTTATGTTGGCTTTATAAAGGCTGCAGAATTTAGAATAACCATTATAATATATTTTCATATACAATTCTACTTTTCGTCTATAAATCAGTTTTCGAAATCTGGTTAATCTTTCTTCATCTTCTACTTATTTGTTGTGAAAATATCCGATAAGAACCGCATCATGAACAAGTTCAGTAAAGTATCGAAATATAATGACCTTTTAGATTATTAGTTGATTTCGCACATTTCAACTTTACATTTCATATCTTAATCAAAAACCTTACTCATGTAGACGTTACCTGAGTTTCAGAAAGATGTTTCATAGTTTTTATGGCTGCGATAAACGTTTAAATGACCATATCTAAGTAATCGAAATCTCCATATATTTTATTTATTGTAGCAAACTATATCTAAATTCACATTGTCTTGTATAACGTTGTTGCTTGAAGAGGTCTCATATCTGAATCAGACTTTTTAAACGTATCATTCACATATCATGTACTTCTACATAAACATGTCAATAATGACAATGAAAGCTCCACAATTAACCCATTTATCTCGGAGAAATCAACATCACTAACAACAAAAACAAAATGTCCTGTATATATCTTCACATCAACAGTCTTCATATCTCAGTCGTTTGCACTATCACGTAGAAGGAATCATATAGGTGTTTGAAATAACATCTAACCATTTTTCAGTTTCATACTATTAAAATCTCTTATAACTCCGAGAATATTATTCCCAATTAATAGAGTTTATATTTATGTCATCATTACAGTTATAACTTGTTTTAGACACAAATTTTCTATTTTCTCTTCATATTCTTTTGTCTTAAAATAACCAAAACTAGATCCAGCAAGTATTGTTGGCAAACTTGAAGAGAACATAACACAAACGAATAAAGACTATGCTGCTTTAGATTGTAAAGCTAATGCGAATCCGGCTATACCGGATAGAACATTTAAATGGTATCGTTACTTTCCACCTAAGGGTTGGACAGAAGAAGTAGATGAGGGGGCATTACAACTGAGTGAGCCAATTTATTGTAATCAAGTACGTAACTTTTTTTCGTTTTTTGTGTTAATCGTCCACTGATTGAAGAATGTTGGTAAATTCGTCAAATGGATTAGAGTGATGCAGTTTTCAAAGCATGAGTTAGTCCGAATAAGCATGCTGCTGATCTGTTTGATATTTCTTATTTTAATAGCTACAAAATACTGCGTTGATTACTCTGCACTTAAAATCAACCAATAAATTTACTGACTAGGGATACTAATTTACATTTGTTAATGCATTTAAGACCTCTAAATATATGTCTCTTTCTATCATGGGACTCTTCATCAGTGCGTGAATGCGAGTCGTAAATCCAGGAGTTCCAGTGAAAAAATATGACTAGTGTGGGTTAACCTCGTCGTGTGTGACATTCTAATGTACCATATGCAGTAGAAAATGGTGGTATAATATCGCAGATTATTTGGAATTAGACATATTTACCATTGAATTCCGGTTTAGTGAACCAAAGGTTAGAAGCTCGTGGTGACGCTAAACGTCTATTGCCTAATCTTCAGTGGATGCACACTGCTAAGAAGTCACACATTAGGATGAATTAAATATCCATTAGTTTTTGATTTCCACTGATCATTCAATTAGAATCAATGTTTTATGTAATTTATGAAAACTCAATCTCCACAAACTCCTACCGCCTAATCGTAACATGACATCAATCAAAGTTAATTTCACAAATAAAAAGTTATTTATACAACTTTAAAATGGTGTAATTCCATATGGAATAAGTTTCAGTGAATTTACTTGATTTAATATTTTAAAAATTATCATATATAACTTCATTTTAAATAACTAGTGTTTAAATGTTAATTTACTTTCCAGTTTTTGCTCGATTTTATGAAAAATGTTTCCTTTTTTCATAAACATACATTTAACATTATTCATAACATTCTATAGAATGAGAAGAGATATATTTTAAATATTAAAGTGTAATTGATACCAACAAAACACGGTTGAACTCCACTGGTCACTGCTCACTAGAACTCCAGGAAATCCATCTGGATGAGATGATGGAGAAGATTTGTAGCTCAGGTGGGTAATTTGGTGGAGGTTTGTTCTCTGAGCTGGATGGTTTGGTCGTGGCGCTTTCATCGTTCAGAAGAACGACCATCCAGCTCAGAGAACAAAACTCTACCAAAATCCATCTAGATGCTAATCACTAGTAAGGATATGATAATTATCAGTATAAGGTCATGGAAATTGATGAGTTTAGTTTCATATCATGAGTGGATCCATATTAGAAATAGTGGTTAGCTGCAAAATGGTTTTCCTAGAGTTCTAATGAGAAGACATGACCAGTGGAGTTCAGCCGTGTCTGTTGTGATGTAGTTACTCACTGAAGATAATGGTGGATGGTCTCACAATATCGTGGATTTCTGGGAGTTAAACATTAACATCTATTGGATACCAGCTCAGTGGTCTAGAGGCTAAGCGTTTGTGTACGATAACGAAGGTTTTAGGTTCGAGTCCCGCGTGAGGGGTCGTAAACGTACACTGATTTGTAGTCCCATATTAGTACGAAATGGCCATCCAGTGTTCCTATACTTCTTCTGTGGTGGTCAAACATTGATCCATTCATGACAACAATCTTCACAATCCTATACTGATAATTAAAAAAAAATTAGTTTAACCTGATTATTAACTAAAACTACACTAATTTCATTGAAGTGTAAGTAAATTCTCAGTCAAGTAATTGTAACATTAATTTTCTGGTTAACATTGTTTCCATTAAATAAATATCATGATTTGTTTGTTTAATCTTTTTATCATTTTAAAATATATATGCCAATTTATATTAAATAAAATTCTATTTGACAAAGGATTTCTTTTCTGAACAAATTTCCTCCTACTACTACTATTACCACCACTACCACTACTACTACTACCACTACTACTACTATTACTGCTAATAGTACTACTGCTACTACAACTACTACATACTCAATCACAGTCTTGAGCAAAGATTTTTTCTTGGATAAAAGATTCGCTAAAATTAATCAGATGTTATTTCTTTTTTTTTGTTGTTGAGCGGATGTTTCTAAGCAGAAAATTTTCATTTCGGGTTTTTTTATTTATAAATAACTAAAATGTCCGAAAACTGTCTGTATAATTATTAAGATTGTGGGGTATGTTTTTGAGTTATTGTATGTCGTAATAAAGTGAATATTTGATAGTTATATCTCTTCGATTATTTTAAAGAAGAAACTAAATAAACAAACATGAACTGAGTATTTTATTGAGAATGATAAAAAATCTAATGAAGAAATAAATAGTGATTCATTAAAAGTGCATGTTGTTAAGAGCACTTTATGCAAATATACTTAGAATATTTAAATGTTAGACAGGTGAAAGTGGCCAACATGAAACCTTTCGACTTAAATTTCATTGTATTTGGTATTCATTATCTGTAAACATAGTGTCACTTCTGCACCTCCTGTAATTCATACTTGGGTTAACCGGCTTCACAATCAGAGACATTATTACTTAGTAATATCTGATCACTTGGACTAATGGTCAAATTACAACTTGATAGATAAAATTCTATCATTATTAAAGACTAGATCAAATTGTCTAGTGTATTAAGATAGCTAATATTAGTTAAGTATTAACCAGAACCAAATATGTTTGAAAAAATTAATGATGAAAAAGAATATCTAAGTCTAATATAGATACTTCTTTCAGAATACAGAACTTCAACTTAGGATTGCTAGTAATCAAGTAACTTACTTTACTATCGTTTTCAAACAGACGTTGAAATAACATCCATGTAATGCATACTTAAAGCAGTTTGTAAGTCAGGTTGACAAAATAGTAATTAGGTTGTAAGTTAAGAGAGACAATGGGTGAACTTCTAATAACACCTATTGTTTAAATACATATTACAAAACATTGAAAGTTAGAAAATATGGGATAAACACCACATAAACTATTATTATTATTATTATTATTATTATTATTATTATTATTATTATTATTATTATTATTATTATTATTATTAGAAGCTTTATTTAACATTATATTTTTGGTACAACATAGAATTCACAGCATAAAGTATTTCAACAAATTTCCTTTTCTTATATCTTGATCGATTGTGACGATAAATTTTGAATGATGACCAGTTAGATGTTAGGAGTTCGGTAATCCACATTTGATTAATATTCATTCGTTTCAATGTATATTGCCGGCCACCATGATGTCGCCGATTGTACCTTTTTGTATCCCGTATAGCGATAGGTTGTAAACTTTTCATAAACGCGCCTGAATAGATTGTGTGCACAATAGACATAATGATGTGCTAAAACAAATAACAAAACAGATAACTTGATGAAATATGTAGATCGGAGGAACAGGTAGCCCAGATATTCAAGCAGGCCGCCTTTCAAGAAAACTTATTATAATAGCTAAATAAGATAACTTATGGTTTGAAGACATAGTAGATTGGTACAGTCATTAGTATAATCGGGTCATTTCATAATTTGAATTATTAATGGTCTAAAGGACCTTGGCTCTGAGAAAGTAAGATCGAAAGCTAAACATGCTTTTTCTAAAAAAGGCAGATCTGGTTTTTATAGACATAATAACAATTTCTTCTGCAGTTTGAGCTTAACCACTATTCGGTAAATTATTACCAACACAAGAAAGGAATACTTAATTCTGGATTTGTGGACTACATAGGATATGCTTAAGTACACAACTTCAGCGTATTTACAAATACAAAACACTGACTAATATAAAATGATATAAAAGATGTACTAATATTATTCAAACTATTTACAACTTAATAGTGAAAGTCATTTGAAGTTAAAATTAAGTTTCCTATAGTAACAATAAATGTTAGTATAAAGTTGGAGTAAATTAGCTTACTAAACAAACATCAAATTTTTTGCTTGTTGCCTTATCTAATAAATAAAATCTTTTGAACATTCAGCATTAATTACCATCTATATTTATAATGAAATAAATATAATGACAAACTGTCTGTTAATATTTAATGCAATGAATTTACATTGAAAATATTCGATTATAATCCATTGATTTGCATATTCCCATTATCCCCTCCTTAACTTTCTACACATAATGTCAGTAGTTCTAACACGAACTGGCTGGTAAACGATTACACGAAAATTAGTAATATAGACAACTGAATTCTGAATTACTTTAATAAAATCAATTTTTAGGTCGTTAGTGAACATTGTTAAGTAGTGATCCAAGACTATTACTAATAGGCTATGTGGTGATACTTTATTTTCAATAGTTCTTCACTTAATAATGATTCATGATAAAAAGTAACTTCAAATAAGAGCAAATATTATTGTAGTTCAAAATTTGATGTGTTAAAGCAAGTCTATCTTTCTCAGTGCTTATTGTGAATTTTAAACAAAACTTCGTTTACTTATCAAAAGTTATTTTCTTGATTACTGATGGATTTAAATTGATAAATACCTAGGGAACAATTATAACATGCTCATCACATTTAAAGGCATTCACAATAAGTCAAGAATTCCTGACCATTTTCAATTAATATCAAATGTCAAATACAGAACAACGTTCCTACAAATTTACTACATTACAAATATTTCTTAAAAATCCTTTGGAAAAATATCAATAACACAAAAATATTTTAATAGTTAAGATCATGGGTCAATTGAAGCTAGACCACCATGGAAAATCTTGAAGCACTGGACGGCCTTTTCGTCCTATTGTGGAACTCCTTAACAGTGAGAATCCATTGTCCCGCCTCGCGAGCTTCGAACCCAGGACTTTCGGTCTCGTGCGCGAACGCAATGGTGGTCTAGCTTCAATTGACTCATGATCTCAACTATTAAAATTACTATAATATCCACAAAGACCCCTTCTGATAAAAGTATTAGTTCAGAACATTTTCTCGAAGACATATTGAACATGCTTTCATGATTACAGAATAAAACCTATTTCTTAGAGTCCCTAAGTTTGAATCATCAACAGTTACGAATTCATTCAAATTCGGGGCATGAACCATTTAGTCGATTGTTTGTGTAGTATAATCGTATATGTGTAGCAGTAAACCTAATCTTTTTATTTATTTGATTTTCTCCAGTCTCAGGTTGACAAACCAAAAATGCTTGCTCAGTGTTTTCAACAAGATAAGTTTCAAATTTCTAGTACATTTTACATCTATCAACTTACAGAAGATGATGTTGGTAAATATGTTTGCGAGGTCAGTAATGGAATAGGTGAACCAGTGAAGAAGACATTTAATCTTTTGTATCATTGTAAGTTTTTCATGAATTTTCACAAAAACTGATTTAACAAAGTAATGAGTTAACAAGAACTGACCACTGATTATTCTTTTCAATATTGGTTAAGTTCTGCTGATTGACTTTCATTGTGACTAATAGTGAGTCATGATTTGAAGTTATATACTTTGAGACAATCTGTACAAGTTCGACTTCTAAGGGTGATATCGGTTCATTCAATATTGAAGGCACTCCTTGCTCTGAAGTAGCACCATGATCTTGGCTTCTTACTGGGACTCGAAGCTAGTCACTAATGAGTACATGATAAATATCAAAATAGGGTCAACTCGATATCCGTAGGTCCTGGGTTCAAGTCCTGTGTGAGGGGTCGTAAGTGCTCACTACCTGGAAGTCCCATACTAGAATGAAATGAACGTTCGATGCTTCCAGCCTTTCAATAGTGGTCTAACAGTGATCTATTCATGATCTCAATTAAAACTCAACAATCTCCGCAACCCTATATTGAAAGCTATGCTACTTCGCTCTTCAGATCTACAATAAACTATCAGATTTTAGTCGTTCAAGAAATGTTTTCATAGTAAGAACCCCTTTTCTAAATATTTGACAAGATATCAAAATTTAGGCACTTTAGTATTTGTGGGTTGTACCAACACCAAGGCACACTTTAGCCCATATATATAAACAACACCAAGTGAATGTAAAACAACATTATGTTTCAATGATAAATCAAGAATTGTAATTTTGATTTCTTTTATTAAGTCATATTTATATTTTAGTAGAAAAATTTCATAAATCTGTTTTCTTTTTTAATTTCACATTATTTAATTCCATAACATTACAGTTCCTCCAAAAATAATTCAATTGCCTCGATATACAAAAGCAGCTGGTGAACAAAGTTCCAAAGTATGGTTAACATGTTACATTCGTACAGAACCAACTCCACAAATTGCTTGGCTCAAAGATAATAAATTAATCCCAATGGATGCGTTAATTCAAAGTAAAACATCAGATAGTAAAAATGGAATGAAAAAATATGAAAATTTTTTAACTCATATACGTCCTGGATTATATAAAGCTCAGTTAGCTGTTAATGATATAAGAAAATATGACTTTGGTTCCTATAGTTGTCAGGTTTGTTTAATTATTTAATCTTTTTTTGAACAAAAAAAATAAATTTTAAAAGTAAATAATCTACCCTAATCATGTGTATTTGGATGGTAACTAGATATCTCAGATGCTTTAAGCAATAACCTTTTTTTCGACTTATTTGCATATATTTACTGTCGCATTTATCACGCTTTTGCATCTCTCAACTTCTACAAACTTTAGAATTGATTTTTCGGTAGACTGATGCCAACTAATAAATCACTGAAAAGAAAAAAAAACAATGAACCACTGTTTTGTTTTAATCCAAAAGTCGGTAACACAACACTTTTACTAATTCGCATAAAATCTAATAAAGGAATTTTATAACTTTAGGCAATCAACTAACAGCTTATTATTTATCTGGGGTCAATGACTTTCTTTAAAACTGATTCTCAGTGTCTAATGAGAAAGTATAATCTGTGACACTCGACTATATCAGGAACGAGGTTGTTATCACCGATTGCATTGTATGATCGCCGTGTGATATCGCAAAACGAATAACATCGAAAGTTTAGATATTTCTATCCTTATTTGATTTTAAAAAATAATACATGTTCAGAAATGGGTTTCAACCAATTAATTGATGGCAAATAAAATTGCGTTAATAGGGGGATATGCTATTCAAAATAATGAATTTTACAAAACCCACAAATATTCATGTTGACAGCACATGTAAACGACAGCGGACATATTCTCATATGAATAGAAATATTCGTAGTATGGGTTGTAGTTACTTTATCTGCTGAACTAAATACTATCCAATGGCGTTTATCTTATGCATAAAGAAACTCCAGTAAGCGATGAAATCATATTGTTATTGAGCCCAAACTATTTTATACGTACGTATGATCCTAAAATATCAATTAATTGGAGCTTCTATAATTTGTAAAACCCGACGTATCTATGTCCTTCATTCAGTTGCCGCACATATACCTATGGTTTCTTTCCGTAAATAAGTTCATACCTACAAAATTATGGACTACGCTGCTTGTTTTAATTACTGTGAAGTATATTGTTGTGAAACATTTTTTATCACAGAGTTGCATTTTGAAGAGCCATTAGAAAACAAAAGTCATTGAATATCTATATTTTCCTTATATGGTAGGACAATAAATTATATCAATCTGTGTCGGAAACCATTTTCAACCAAAACTAACCTTTAGAAACATTTCAATAAAAGTAAACTAGCCTGCTCAATTAATTACAGTCAGTTATGAAATCTAAAAGCATCATCTTACTGATTTTCAGTTAAAAAGCAATTAATCAGATGCAGTACAGTACAAAAGTACTTTATTTTATTGTTTATAATAATGAGGAGTATGACTGTTTACATTCAGTATGACCGCGTTTTTAGATGAGCTAAAAAAATAAAGCCTTTTAATTGAAAGGTCAATTATCCTTTTCAAAATTCACAATTCGTACCCAAAATATATTATTAGACAAGACTAGAATCGAATATTTTTTTGTCATACATTACAATACCTCGATTTATTTATGGTCTTGGAAACTATTAGTAACATTTTCTCTTTTAGGCTGCTAACTTACAAGGTGAGGCTCAACTAGGAATTCATTTGTCCGGAACATCCACCCCAGATGTACCGATAAATTTTCGTCTTCTAAATGCAACCTCATCAACTTTGCATGTTGCTTGGACTCAAGGTTTTGATGGTGGATTGGCACAAACTTTTCAGGTTTGTATTTTGGGTTTTAAATATGCATGTACAAAGTTATAAAATTCAGAATTTAACTTTTGGAAAGTCTTAAATGAAGGCATTTGATAAAGCATTATATCAATTTGGAACTCTAAGTTAGTGTCTTAAAACAGTGTTTCCGATACGTTGCCCAATGTAGTGATAATAACCAGAGATTAAAATAATTACTGCCTTTAAGTACATGCTAATTAGAGAGATTCAGTACGACTTCTCAGCACTGTTGCAAGTGATTATTATCATCGGAAGGAAAATCAGCTTTACAGTTTGACTACAAATCATTTGACTTTCTCTTCCATAAGGATCATGGCAAGTAAGTCTTATCATTCATCTTTACTTGGTAAAATATCAAAACGTCATTATATATATATAACTGATTTATTGAGTATGTCTAAGTTGTAATTAGGTTTGTACTACTGAATTGCATACTGTGATGAATCGGTCAGCTCAGTTTCCCACTATTTCTTTACAGTTCATCTATAGATGCTTCGAATTTAGCGGCATGTTATTATTTTCATCGAAATTATCTTGCTTCTCGAAGTTAACAAACTATTAACAAATTTAAAGCATGTTTCGTGTAGAACAGGACAGAAATTAAAGAATAATAAATCTACAACCCTTCTACGGTGAAAATAATGTAAATAATCTTAATATATGATGTAAACGGCTTTTCTATATTTGAATAAACCATAGCGATTACTCAGTCCTAACAAATTTCCAAATCTAGTTTTATTATCAATGACAAAAATTTTAAAGTATCTCACTTAGATTATTATTACTTTTGATATTATGATAAACCCCTGAATTTAATTTCATTACGATGATTAAATAATGGATTACTTTAGAATCAGGCGGAATCAAACAAGAGGTTATGCATACAACTTATTTCATCTATAAACCACCATATGAACCTAGTTTATGAAGATGAAGTCAACATCGTAGAAGATTAAAAACAACCTTGGTGTTATTGAGCAGGAAGATGAACATATAATATACTGAGCAAACATTTCAGAAACGTTAATACGTATAACACATATAACTGACATACATTTTCTCTGTAATTGTTTAGTAGGAGATTCAATAAAGAAAATACTGTAAATTAATTATTGAAATACTTAAAACAGTCTTTCACGTCTAAAATGAATATTTGAAACTGCAACTGTTTTTGAGTAATTTACATGTTTAATGACAGATTAGTAATTGATTATCTTGACTACTTCTCGTAATTAACTAGGTCGAAATGCAAACAAAACCTGATAAACTTAGGTCATAAACGATCCATGTTTCAGAAATCTAATGTCAAGTAGTTTACTTCTTATCAGAATGGGTTTTGTGGAGATTTTAGAAATTTCACAGATTGAAATCATGAGTCAGTTGAAGCTAGATCACCATTGAAAACCGTCCAGTGCTTCCAGGTTTTCAATGGTGGTCTAGCTTCAACTGACTCATGATTTCAATCTGTGAAGTTTAATTCTTATTATTGATTTACTTATTGGCTTATCATTGGATAAGTGATTCCTACATAAAATCTCAAACTCGTATTACCTAGTCCTATAGTGAAATTACAACCTTTGTAGTAATATTCAGACAGCGATTTTTCAACATTCAGCTAAATTTAATACATATGCTATTTCAGCAAATTACTAAAGTTTATACTAACCTTAAATGATGTAATGATTTATTTTTTCACAATCAACTCTATTATTTGCTAGGTTCGTTGGCGTGAGGTTGGTTCAATTAGTTTGTATAAATATGCTGATGTAGCATCAAATGATAATCGAAATGGAGTTGAGTACATCATTACTGGTATGTTTAATCTTAAATGATGATGTCGTAATTTTGTGAAATATGTTGTTTATAGCTATTTTCAAAAGTGTTACTAATTAGATAATTATATTATTTGAATATTCACTAGGTATCTACGTCTTTATCAACTAATCAAAATAATTTAATCAAGTTGTAAAACCTTATACATAAACAGAAAAAAGACATTGTTTTCACAGTAAACCGCCTATTCATATTAAATCATGCTGAGATAATCACTTTTGACTTAAATGTTATGGTATGAACTATTGAGGACTATCATAGCTATGTCTCAAATTGCTATAAACATCTTTCTTTCGAATACTGCTTTAGCTATAAATTACTAAATGGCATCTAATGAACAAGCTGTTAAAATATGTATATTAAATCAAGTTACAATTTATGAATAAATCCGATTGGATCTCAAAAGAACATAAACACTGTCCAATAAGAGGTGATTTACCACTGTCTGAAATTTATTAATTCACAAGTTTATATTCTGTGACTTTTACCTCCCATAAACATCTAAGATGATAATATTAGAATGACAAAATGTATTGCTCTGTGTGTGTTATAGCCCAATGAGGATAATAAATTGTAACTGTCGAAATCTATTTCTGGATTAATACTATACATATATTTTTATTGTATAATTTTTAAGTGACTTAACTATGCATGTTCATGTTCCTCTTAATAAAAGCATTATTTTAACCCATTTTGACTATTAATATACGATTTACATTTCTAGAGTTCTATCCATTTTATTAACTACAGTCTCCTACATTCACAGCCACTTTCGGCTAGATCTTGTATAAATGTTTATTTCTATCTTATGGTGACATGTGGTCTGTTTGGTTTGTATATAAACCCAGTATGTTTGAAATACATGATACATATCGCGGAGGCTGAGATTGGTGTTCTGGACTTAACAGGCGGGACTAAGCAAGAGTCAGGACCGATAAAGTCTTTAGACTACTCTTACGGGTTTTATATGTCATTGGTCAGGTCAATAAATCATTGTTCTCCAATTGGGAGTATCATAAAGTTCAAAACTAGTTAACGAAATTCCAAATTGTTTACTTCTACAGATCAATGAAGTTATTGGTTATATAATATTTCACATTCTCTAATTGGTAAACCTTTGATTCTGTTGAGGTTTTACTTTGTAGACCGATGTAAAAACATATAAGTGTGATAATATGCACTATTTTTGAACACCTCATTAGTCTGTGAAAAGATTTTATTCTCAGGCGTAATACAGTATGGAATCTAAAGGATGATATAAAAGTAGCATGTGAATAAAATCAACGAAAAAATTCAGTTTAACAAAATAATTGTTTTTAACCGGAAAACTTTTGTATTTTGCTAGTTAACAAGCAACACTAAGCACCAACACATGATGTCTGTAAACGATTATGCTACACAATACATGATATGAATATACTGTTCATCTATTTTAAAAGAGATTTGAGAACCCAAGTTATTTGTAGCTATTGTTCTTAAAATAGGAAGCATTTAACCTTGAAAAAAGTAAAACATTTTAAATACACTTGTTGTTGTTTTACTCGTATCTTCCCATTGTTATTTAGGACTGTAACTGATCATTCTCTTGTTGACATGTGTCCACCCTGTGCAAATTGTCTCAATATAGCCTTAAGTCATAAGCTTTTTTAGAAATTTCACTGGTTGAAATCATGAGCCAGTTGAAGTTAGACCATCATAGAAAATCTGGAAGCACTGGACGGTCGTTTCGTCTTAGTATGGAACTCCTAAGCAGTGGGCATCCACGATCCCGCCCTCCACGAGATTCGAACCCAGAACCTATCAGTTTCGCGCGCAAGCGCTTATCCTCTAGACCATCGAGCCAACCGGCATCAAACGGTGTTCATGTCTAACTTCAACCAATTCACGAAATTTCGCCACCGTACACCATTGTCTTCAGTGAGCTGATAAGCTTTTTAAGCAAAGTTGGATATTACTGCTAGCCACTATCCATCTATGCATAGAACATTCTACTTTGAAATAATAGTAATAACCTATTTTTATATAAACATCAATTTAAATTCATTGAACTAATTAAAAATTAAATAAAAGACGATCTTGTTTACTTCAATTGTGTTTGTCAAACTTATATAGTTAAACGTTAATTAAACTTTATGATTTCAGTTTTACTTATCATTCAGTTACTTTTAGTTTAGACATAAATAAACTCTAGTCTGATTAATTATTTTGTCTTAGCTAAGTTGTATATCTAATTTTTTTCTTCATAGGTTTAAAACCTGGAAGTGAATACATAGTCAGTGTGAATTCTATGAATTCAAAACATGGATCTAGTGCCTACACAGACCCTATTCATTTAAGAACACTACCAAGTAAGTTTTTCACCAGTGATTAGTTTCATGAATAAAACTGTGAGACGGTGGAAAAAATTTGTAGTTCATGTAGATGATTTTGATGGGATTTTTATCTCTGAGCTGGATGGTTTGGTCGTAGAGCTTTCATTGTTTTTCTGAACAACATCATCAGCACAAACTTAAGCTAGAAAGGAAGTGTTTAAATTTTTCCACATTTGACTCACAGTTTGTCCTGTAGACCACGATCTTCACTGAGTATTGTTGACCTTTAGCGTGTTATTATTTACATCTTTATTCTGAAAGTATCTTCCATTTGTTTGATTCTTGGTCCTATACTTGTCCATGATTTTTTCTGATTGATTGATAAAATCGATCTGCTTTATTGTGTTTATTGATTGCTGATTGATCTGAGTGCCAAGCTTCTTAAAATTCTCTGATGTTTTTAGAATTCCCTCTATCCAAGATTTAAACATTTTTTCAGTCGAATATATGTCCACAGTTGTCCACATGCGTGTACATAAGAGAGGATATGTCATTGTGTTTGACCGCTAATTGATATTCATGTAGGCAAAGATGATAGTGACGTCCACTTTGTCCGATGTAGTGTTTTTCACATTTGAGACAATTTATTTTGTAGATGATGTTCGCTTTTTCTTCTTTTGTCACTTCGTCTTTTGGTTTGAATAGATTTGATTGAAGTGATTTTGATGGTTTTTGTGCCACACCTAATCCAAACGGCTTCAATAATCTCGTAACTTTTAATGCCTTTGAATATATGGTAGGATGACCCGTTTCTGTACTCCGTTTTGTTTCTGCTGATGCGTTTCCTTGATATTTTTAATGAAGTTGGTTGAGTAGCCACCCTTTTGAAAGATAGACATCAAATCTTTTTCTTCATCTTTCCGCTGTGAAAGTGTGTTGCTATTTGTTCTCGCTTAGTCTGTTTACAATAAATGACATGTATTCACACTAACAAGTGTCAGAAATTACTTCCATATAGGTTTAACAATGACAATTTTTAATAGAAAAAGAACATAATTCAACGAATTTAGATCATTCATTATGCAGTTGAATAGATACTTTCAAAAAAAAGAGTATGCCTATTTAAAAACGAATTATATTATTCTATTTTCTATACCGTAATACTTAGAATAATTTATTTTTATTAATCTTTATTATATAGTAGATTCATACAATGGACGTGAACCTATCCCACCCTTATCAAATTCTGGTTATTCAGATGACAATGCTTTATTAATCATAGTATCTGCATGTGTTTTTGGATTTGTTATTCTTCTTATTAATGTTATAGTTATTATTTTCTTAATTAAACGACGTCGTCATCGTAATATGATGAGAAGACGACAATATAAATCTGATCAAGGAGTTACTATGACAAATGGAGTTGCATTAGCACGTCATGATCAATCTAATAATGATATGAAAGCACATCTTCAATCATCTTTTATTGATCAAAATGATAATTTTGTAGATACAGATATCAGTACAACATGTATATGTTGTCCACCTAATAAAAAAAAACTCACAAGTTCAGGTAAAGTCATTTTTATTGACTTTCTATCTTTATATAAATTAACTGACAATCAAAATAGGAAATAAAAAGCCATATATATGTTACAGTTTAGTTGATATTACCCACATATGACACATCAATTATTTTGATGAAACTATTATTCCATTAAGAAGATGATTGATGGTATCGATGGCTACATTAATTTATTGTCATTTATGGAAAACTGAATAGCTTCTCAAGAGAAGGTGTTATCTAAACTATTCATCATTATAATTAAACATTAAAGTATTCTATAAAATACAATCTGTTGGTTTACTAATCACTAATTTATGTTATAAACATTCACACACTCTTCAAGAAAGCTGATTTGTCACATCAATGTAATATCATTCATTCCAGGATAATGAATCTCAATAAAATAAAAAAAAGCTAATTAGATAAATAAATAGTCACGTACAAATCTTCTGTCAGAATAAACTTAACTCTATAGTTTATTGGGAGGTAAATTTTAAAAATGACCATCATACAAAATGAATGTCCTAACCGTACCAAAGTTAAGAATCATATATAATACAACAAGGTTCACTCTTAGACATAATTATATGTCTACAAATATACAGTATTTGATTAGTTCAATACAAAGTTCATCGTCACTCACTGATATATTGATTACATATGAACTAAACGAAATATGAATGATTTCTTACTAAATGACACTTAATTTAGCTGTGGAAAAATATATGAGAAAACTTATGTAAATTTTACAAATTACTTTCAATAAAACAGTACCAACCAATTGTTGATTCTACTCAAATATTTGTCCATATCCGAATCCACTTTTAATTTAGAAGATGTGCTAACTATAGTGATAGCCTTTCATTTTCTACCCAGTGAAAGATTGTTGTTTCATAGTTTTAGGAATAATAATAGAGAGGATCACTTTAGAAGATGAATAATATACATTATAGACTATGTTTTGTCCTACATATATTTATTCACTGATAATATAATTCGATAAGCTACTTAGCCTACATATACTAAACTTTTCAGTTCATCTATTCTTTAGAGACGTAGTTATAAGTAGGGATGACAACAATGGAAATTCATCTTCTAATCTGTTAGAATTCAGCAAATAATTGGTATACTTATTTCTACAGATTTCTTCCATCGAAAGAGAGTATTGGCTACGAGCTTGTAAAATAGGGAGACGCTGGATAGATATTTTATTACAATTTCAGATTCGTCAGTGGCAAAAACATAGGACTGTCAGCATCTGGTTGTTCAGATTTTATAATTTCATTCAATTCACTACTGAAAGTAAATCTCATCTAATATCATTGGCCAATAACTACCTTGTTTCCAGTATTTCTGACTCTATGAGCCACGGTTTCTACACTGTGAACTATTTATTTGAGCTTTTCAGGTTTAAAATAAGTATATATAATCATAAATATTTTATTCCATTCACGACTGTTAGTTTATAACTGTTTATGTACGTTTGAGGATTATTGAAATTCAAAAACTAGTCCATTTTCATTTCATACTACTTAATATTGATAAGTACCATATTTAATATTTAATAATTATCAAAACTTAACTGTCAGGTTTTTTAATGCCAGGATATGAATGAAAAACCAAGTGCGAAAAATAGTCGTTACTCTCAGAGTGTCTATACAGGTTCTCGTGAATGAAGTTTGCTAATTTGATAAGTTGAAAACCTCACTACTAAGTTTTTAACAGTTGACAACTGATCTTTATAATTTCAATAATTTTAACAGTTGAACTCATGAGTCGATCTAAGCTAGATCACTACTGAAAAGGCGGAAGATCTGGACAGCCGTTTTGTCCTAGTATGGGACTCCTTAGAAATGCGCATCCAAGGTCCCGCAATAATGGGGTTTTCCATACTAGGACAAAACGACTGTTCAGATCTTCCACCGCTTCAATGATCGTCTAACTTAGATTAACTCATGAATTCAACTATTAAGGGTACTATAATCTCCACAAATCCCCATTCTGATAATTTAAATAATGCCAAACAAAAACATTAGAAATTCTTCTGAGTATCAAGTTATTAATTAGTACCTTTGTGAAGCATTTATTTGTTTTTGTCTGACTATTCTCAATTTTCTCTCAACGTTAAAAAACTTCAGTAAGTACGGTACATTGATCTATTGGTCGATCATTAGGCATAACACATAGGTCAAACAATCTCATCCAGTGACTTACTCCATTTACAAAGAGATTTGCCCCAACGGAGTTAAATTCATTCCTACTGAAGTCACTAAATACTAAATATTTTAAGACTATAAAACCCATTATCATGTGAGTTTTACTGGGTTTTTTTATTGAAGTTAGACATTAATACCGCTGGATGACGGCTCAGTGGTCTAGTTGATTAAGCGCTTGGCGTGAGCCAGATAAGTCCTGGGTTCAAGTCTCGAGGGGTGCGGGATCGTGGATGCGCACTGCTGAGGAGTCCCACACGAGGACGAGATGGCCGTCTAATGCCTCCAGGTTTTCCATGATAGTCTAGCTTTAATTGACTCATGATTTCAATCTGTTTTTTATTATCTATTAGTATACTAAGCCTTCAGAATGATTTGCAAATATATTTGTTGCTTTAGAAGTATTATGTGCAACTTTTTAATTAAATGATATTATTTAATACCGAACACAGCTTAATTACCATCCATTTACTGTGCTATATTATTATTTGTTTATTAGGTTATGTAAAAGCAGACTCTTATGGTAATTTTTCCCGTACACATGGTTACGCACCTCATGATATTTGTCCATCTCAATGTTCTCAGTATATACCTACAGATGTTGATCAACAAGGACATTTGATGAATCATAACATCACTAGCAGTAATCCAGATTTCAATCACTTAACTTCTAATCAAATGACAACAAGTTATCCGGTTCGCCATTTAACATCTCCAAATCCATATTACAATAATACGCTGAATTATCCAGTGACTCGTCATGGTTCTACTGAACTCGGACTAGTTTATTCATCAGCAAACCCAGTTAATCAATTAAGACATGAACATGGAAGCATTAAACATTCTACTCGCCATGGTCAACACACTCCAAGGCAACCAAATCAGTCTCGTTACTATGGTGTAAGCTAACTTTTTATTGAACCAACATTTATTAATAAATGCCTAACATAATACATTTAAATCAATATAACGTTTTCCTGTACAGAAGCTAAGATGAACCATTTAAATGTTAACTGTCACTATTGTTCAGTAGTCCGCAGCAGTAAGTAGCAGAAAACATACCAACAGTTTCCGGTAATATCAGTGATACATTGAGGTTTTAACAGATCACTTAACTGTGTTTAACTTCCACTCTTAGATTACTTGGAATCTTTTTTATCAAATTTCTTTATTTTAAAGTTCTAATACCTGTAGGAAAATTCTCGGTGTTAGTGTTATGGAAAATATATTTGTATATAATCACTTAACTACAGTAAGCTAGTAAGTCACTAAACTTAGTTAAATAATCAGTTGATCAGTTATAACTAACAAAGAACCCAGTACATACTGGCTTCGGTTTAAGTTAGCTCAATGATATGTAATTATTAAAATAAATACCAGGATAGTAAAAGTAAAAATGTAAAACACGACAATAAGAGAGAGGTATGTGTATTTATTGCGAGAAGTTACTATGCATTTACATTCTTGCGAGTAGTTCCCACCACAGGAACAATAACAGTTGTAGTACAAAAGAGAATGTTCAAACAATACAATTCTTGGAAGAACAAGGTATGAAATTATTTCAAGGGAAGAAAAATAGTGAATCCACCTGGGCTATAATGAACAATTCTGCAACGAATCATCCAACGTCTCGAAAAGCAAAAGCTAATACTAAGATTTGAGTACATATATAAATGGGGAGGAGAATGAATCATCGAATGATATTTAAACAATCAACATTTTCACTAGAATCTGTCATGTATTCTAGTGATCATAACAGTACAAAGAAATATGTGAATTGTTACTGACCGATGTATATATGTGCCTTGTCCTACGTTGTAGCTGACTGACTGACTAACTGTTAAGTAAGTTCATAAATGGATTTAACCAAAATGAACCATAATCAAAATTGATTATAGAATAGTTACTATAACATAACCAAAGAAAGAAGTACACAATTTCCAATACACATTAATATTACTAAATTGTATATGAATAATTGAATAATGATTTAAAATATTTTACAAATTTGTACTACATATTCAATTATTCTTCTCTTTTTTTTTCTTTCCTCTTTTGTTTGTTGTCTCTTAATGTTGTATTATCTTTTGTTGTGAATTATTCATTTTATTTAAATAAAATTTAGACACTTCAAAATGTTAATTCATATAGAAAAATAATAAATGACCCATTTATGATTGATAATAAAATAAAAGATTGTAAACAATTAAAAACTATAATTTCTTCTACAGCTTCAGTGAATAATTCAATCATTGTAGATAATAATAATATAGGTTTAACTATAATTAATAATTCAATAGATTCATCAATTCAAAATGTTGTTTCTAATCAAACAATTAATAGTTCAACAGAAATATTATCTACTGGATTAGCTGCATTTTCACAAATTAAACGAAAATCTGAATTTAATAATATTAATGAAAGAAATAATTTGACTAATGAATTTTTTAATACAAATAATATACCTAGTGAAAGTACACCAATAGTTTCTATAAATGTAACCTCTTTTCCAAATCATTTTAATCCTCAATCAATGGAATTAGGGTCAGATTTAGCAACATTTTCATACAGTACACCATTTAACTATAATATGGGTTCATCGTGTACACCTATATTTTTATCCCTTGATCCCAGTGCATCGGATTCCCTATTGATGTCAAATTCTTTGATGAACTGTACTCAAGATAATAACAAATTATATGAGGTAAATGGTGAAATGTCTGTTACTCCTTTAATGATACATTCACCAACCCCTGTACACACAGACCAGGTTCTAGTTCCAAGCTACGTCCCGGTGCAACATATTTAATATACTTTCTATTCATTCCCTAGATAGTAAATATTTCTTAAAATGATTTGAACGTTATATGCATGCATAATTACGATGTTATGTAAGTTAACTATATCAAGAATTTTTTATATTGGTATTCTGTCTCTTCAATAACTCCCTATATTCCATTGTATGACTTCAAGACAAAACCTAATTTTGGAAGTACACGTTATTTTTGTTCATCAAGAGAAGTTATACAATCGAATACATCTAGAAAAAATATACCTCATTTTGAAAATCGACAAAGTGTAAACAATCTTTCTCATGCAATATCTAGTGACTTATTTACTCTTCAAAATCAATGTAATTGTGAACAACAATATTCTATGCACAAACCCCATCAAATTCAGTGTCACAAACGATTACCATATTCTTGTTCTACTTGCTTAAAATCAAAATCAAGTTTACATAATAGTAAACAGTCATTTCATACACTCAACACTCAGAATTCTGTCATTGGTAAGTCTATCATTTATATTTATAGATATAAGTTAGAAATTTAAGTAGATTAATTTTAGCCAGTCGGTCTTGTAAATCGGCTTGAATATACTCTTTAATCTTCTGAAAATAAACTTTGACCTTAATTAAGCTCATATTAAACCTCTAGGATTGTAAGTCACATAGTCTGTATAATAAAGACGTCAAATAATTCATTTAGGTTTACTATGAAATTTAGTAAAAACTTTCAAATAACTCATGAAACTTTGGATGTTGTTCATGGAGACAGAAAATCAAAGAAAATCTCTTTCTTAAAGTGGATCAAATGTTTCAATGTGAGTTGTGAAGACTACAAAAACGCTAGAAACCTGAAGGGACTGTTAACTATTAGTGTTGACAGAGACTTCAGATGTATGATCTCTGTTGATTTTCGCTGATTACCCTTCTCAAATATTGCTGCTGAACTAAACTAGTAAAACAATTCAACTTAAGAAGACGATATACGTTAAGCGTCAGAAAAAGAAACATTTAAAAAGCCTAACTTCAGAGGATCTTGGTAGATATTGTCGGACAAAGCAATGAAACATGAGACAAGTGCATTTCATGAGAAGTATTCTGAACGAGCTAAGATCGATACACCCTTAATTACATGAAATAACGTTGTCATGACCTCTGTCTATGCATATATATATATATATATATATATATATATATATATATATATATATATATATATATATATATATATATATATATATGTGCTATTATTAGGCTCTAATATCTTAAAAATATGGGTCACACTTTTAAAACTAACACAAACTTTGGAAATACTTAAGATAATAGGCTTTGTTAGTCACATACGAGAAGCTGGAGAGTAAAACAATCTAAATTTTATCCCAGCTTGAAATAACATTTTCAGTCTAAAATACTAGTACGAAACGTCCGTTAAGTGCCTCCAGCTCTTCAATGGTGGTTTAAAAAACAAGGTGCCAATAACATTTTAATTCATTAAAAGTGAAACTAGAACACTTAAATATACTGAAGGTTTAGAAAAATGCTTTTCAATTGTTATTGTACAATTAATCAGTTTACTAATTTGTTCACGTATATACTGAAAGTATCCAGTGATGTGATAAGTTTAAGACAATAAATTTAAAAGACTATTTTAGTGACAATCTAAATTACGTTTGTTTTTTAACGACTTATCAATCCAATCTTCTAGATAATTTTTCTGAAGAGGACAAAGATTCCGATCGTAGTCGTTATGCGGATCAACTTAGACGTATTCAATACGGTGGTGGGCCGACTGCTCAGGTTTGTTTATTATTTTCCATAATCCTTTATTTCCAGTTGTAATCTACTTAGCTAAGTTAACACTTGAATTAAGGCGGTTGAAATTGTCGACCGCTTCACTTACCTTGGAAGTCTCATCAGTCTTGATATGCTGATGTTTGGTAAAATCTCAGCACAGATTCAGAAAGCTCAGTTGGCTTTTGCCAACTCACGTCTTTTATGATACAGGCGAGGTGTCTGTCTGCCAATCAGAGAGTGAGTTTATCGTTCTACTTCATAGATATCAAACGTACACATTAAGAATAGGGGATATTTGTTGGTTACTGGTATTTGACTACAAGTGTCTTCGAAGCAACACTTCTGTATTTTGATACCACTGAGCAATCACTCCCAAGGTCAGGAATAGAGTAAAAATGAAATATCAATTGATGAGTTTGTAAAGTTTTATTAAACGAAAGAATTGGGACATGTATTACGTATGTTCAACAACCACCTACCGCAACGAGTGATGTTTTCTGATGTAGAAGTAGGGTGGAAGATGGCTTCGAGTGGTCAAACCAAGACGCGTCACCAATCACTGAAACCAATTATTGCTGATGTAAGAGGTGTAGGTAGGTGTATACTACTTGGTTTGTGTAGACGTGATTATCGTAACTAGTGGTCAGAGACTATGTGATAAAGCTCAGAATCCTCAATGGAAGACATGCATTTACTTCTTATCTCCTTTTAGAACCTAAATTCCTAGATTTCCATTTTTCTTTTTCTCTTTTTCTATATTCAGTCTTTTTTTACCATTACTAACACTATTACTACTTCTACTACTCTGGAGTTTGTTTTGGAATAATTTAATCTCACCATACTGATATGTTATGATAAATTGAGCGGATGCACAAATGCGTCAGGTTCTACGTTACTTATGATAACGATGATGAGATTAACACTTGAAACTAAAATTAGTAAAGTAGAATAAAGTCACTATTTCAGTCACATACGTTTTCTTGCATCAAATTATATATACATAATGAAAAAATCCAATTCTCTTTTAGTAGTTAGAGGGATTTATTAGGATCATTATCTGTGATTAAAATGATTACCTACATTCTTTCAATCTAAACTGATTAAAACCAATTTACTTTGTTTCGCGATTTGAAGTGTAGTAGCTTGTATACGTTAACTAATTATTAAATATCCTAAGAATTATGAGGTTGTCTCAAACCGTATGTATTAAGATTCAGTTTTAATATGCATCTAGAATTGTAGACTTATCAAATTGAACATTTGAGGTTCTTTTAAATTCTGAGAGTAGATTTTATCACCAAATGGCGTGCCATTAAGAATCCTCGTAAACCAAGTAGAATTAAAAATCTATTTAATCCAAGCTTATGACTCCTCGAAAGCATGAACTCACGATTATACTACATGAAGAATTATCTAGTTACAAGTGTAAACCATCATATTTTAACTTACTACTCCGTAAATAAAGTCTACACTAAGAAATCTGAAGTTTGATCCTGTAGAAGAGAATTGTTAAGAAGTTTAAAAACTAGAATTAAATATTCATTAAATGCTACTTGGATTTCGACGGTTCTCTGGGTTTGAAAGTTCAGTGGTGAAAATTACTTTCAAATGTAAAGTAGATGAAATGTAACTAACAGAGAAATCCAAGACCCTCGTCTTACCCTGTGTGAGACTCTCCTATTGGATTTACTTGCATCCGACTTGAGGTTCACTCCGGGGCGTGAAATCAATACAGCTCCGTCAAGATGCCATCTCACTATCCATTTAGCCACCAAATTGGTTTGTCTCATTGTTCATATTCTAACTGACATTTATTAGTTGGTTTATCTATATCCTGTTCGAATCTCATCAATGTACGTATTTCGGCCCAATTTCATATAGGCAGTAATACTTTTTATTCAAAGTTACAATGTAATTTATTACAAATAACCAATATTTTTTTCTTTAATTTACAGCTTTTATTAGGTAATATCAACATACAAAATGATCATTCAAGTCCGGATTCTAATTTAGCACCTTCTCAAGAGGAGCACAATATAAATAACTTTCATTCATGCTTATCAAAATCCAAATTAAATATGCACAAGATTGAATTGATGAATAATACTGAAAATAATCATCTTATCTCTAATTTAAATCAATATAACGAACAACTAGGCAGTTTAGCAGACAATGAGAATCTTGAAACGTCAAGATTATTATATTCAAATCAGTTCAACCGTCAACAACAACAAAATCAACACATTACTAATGATTTCTCTGCCATTCCAAATGTAGATAACACTGAAATCAGGTCAACCCGTCTATCTGACTGTTTTGTTTAACTTCTTTTGTTGTTTCTCTCTTTCTCTCTATCTCTCTGGTTAAATCCACTCATTTACTCTCCTAACTGATATTTCCGGTTTCTAAGTTGAAAGTTAAACTGTATAAGCATTTTTTTAAAATAATCTTTTACACTTGAAAACAAACTTCGACATTCATGATTTATTTTATTTCGAATAGTAATTACTTCCGAAATAACATTCCTCAATTGATTATACATGGGAAAAACACAACGCTTTGCCCTCCACCTCACAAAGAGGTTTATCATTACAAAACTAGAATACATACATATTTGTGAATTCTTTCTTCGGTTTTTTCTTTTTCGTTTGTTTTTTTCTTTTTTTTGTAAAATTTAATATTCATACCACTTTTATAACAATGTAAAGTGTAACATTTCTAAAACTGTTCTTCATTTCAATTTAGTTATATGATAAAATGTCTCTTTTTTCAATGATTCAAATGATCAACTTCTTCTTATATCATTTCGGTCAATTTTCATGACTGATAGACAAAATGTTGATCTCTTTTGATTATTTAAAAGAATATTCAATTGTAAGTTGTAAGACTTCATTTCAATTTACAATCTTACTATAATTATTAGTTGTGTGTTCATTTGTCAATTGTGAGACTACAAAATTTCACAGAAAAATAATTTTTAGAAAAAAACAACTATTTTCTTTTAATACTACTGATTTTGTTTTTTGATAGTATGGAAAATTTAACTTAAATGATTCGATAAAACTACTCAAAAAGAATACAAATAATGGTGAGACTATAGTTGATGGATGTACTTTGAACGACGCTGAAGTGACCTTGAGAGTGGAAACCTACTGATTAAGACTAAATGAGAGTTATAAATCAGTTAGAATTCTCATTCACAGTTGATGGTTAGGGTTAAAAACAAGATTTAGGGTTTTCATTATGAACTGACATCAGCTATGATGTCAAAACTCTATTTAGCCAAATGTATGGATGAATTTCGCGCCAAAATTCGTGACTCATTATTTTATCTCTAATTGGTTCGTCTATAAATCATAGTCTCGTCCAAACAGTTATTGGGTTCATGAATAATTATCTGAAAGTAGTCTAAAATGTTAAAATATAATAATGATAACATATTCTAAAGTGATTTACTTCATGATATCAGTGTGTAAACGATGATTGAATCCGTAAACAATTAGCCAATGCTGTGGTTCTTGCATTATTTCATTCATTATTCAATAAACATTCATAGATATTACCCATTTATGTATAGTAACATAACAAATCGTTTAAAAGTTTAAATTAATTCATGATAAATATATGCACGATCAAAATTTTGAATAAAAAAAGGTGTGGTTGTCAATAGTCGACAGGAATCTTTGGATTTAGGTTTTATACTAATCTGACCTGATGATTCCTAGAGGATTCGATCTAGACTCATCAAGCTTTACTAGGTAAACATGTCATTGGTCGACAATTGATGACCAACTAGCTGTGAACAGAATACATTTTATTATCACTAAGCGGTATTGTATATTTCAAACAAAATCATGAGGACTATAGGATTTCGATAAAAAGACAAAAGAAACCATGACTCTAGTCTCTTAAATTGTGTTTTCAGAGAGCAATTAAAAGTATGAAAAGTTAAACCTCTACTTTATTTGTTGTTGCAGCTTGAAATTATGTAACTAATTACTATTCATAATTCTGTTTACTGGTGTATATATTATTTATACTTGACACTTCCACGATGCAACGAACTTATGGCTAGCTTTTTTTATTTCGAGATGGATAGAAAAACGGAAGAACATCTAATTATCTTCCTCAAAAAGTGGATGGGTGGTCTATATCTAACTCTGGTCAATTTTTATCAATGTTGCTTTAATATACCTTAAATCTTCCTAATTGGTCGAATGAACAGAATAGAAGTGGTTTTGAGTGTTATTAGAGGTATGAGGGCGGTTATCACTTCCCGGTTGCCTACACCGTGGAAGGGTTGTTCTGGAGGTATCTGAAAAGGAAATTGGATTAGAGGTGGTCTTAGTGACCTGGGAGCGTGACCGCAGTGCCCAAGGGACAACTGCTTGAGGTCGGTCACACATGACCTTTTTATGGGTAATTTTTGTGTTAGCTCCGTACTTGTTGAGACCTTACCGTCGGAAACGGATATCCGTGAAATAAGGCGAGGTGTGCATTTTTAGGATCAACCTTTTCTAAACCCACCCCTTCTTGTGGGAAAGCAGTATCGCTGTCATGCTGGTTGTCTGAAGGAAACACCTTACTGCTGCCACACCTCTGTACAGTCAGCAGTACGACTTCGCCTTTGGACCTTAGATTTGTTGCTTTTAGTCTTACCTTTCTTCAACCGACCTGTCTGACATGGTAGGACCTTGAGGAACGGTTGTTCCAGCCAGTATAGCTTGGTTGCTTCATCACGATAGGCAAGCCCGACCACCACGTCAACATGGCAACAACGGTCGGGTGGTCGAATAAACGTAAATAATAGATGAAGAAGTTTGACTCGACCAACTCTGTTGGGTTTTTTTTACGCAGAAATACCATGTATATCCCCCTTTACCTTACATTTTCCTGGTTGCTGAATTTTTTCCGCTCATTATTAAATTGTAAGTGCGAGACTCTATGAGAACGATTATTCATAATTGTATGCTCAAATGTTCACAATTATGTGACATCTAATGGCTCTTTTTCTGAACATGCTAGTGTGGTGTGACGCTGATCTCGACAGATATAAGTAGTGTTATGACCTTGACGTCTGGCTTATCTATCACACGAATTATCTACCAATCCGAATACGACTTATACGAATCTTCACACTAGGCCAACCAATGACGTTCAACCGGTGTGGGCAGTTTAGCGTCTTTATTGGTCCTATGTCCTCCAAGCCCTTCCACTTGAGTCCAGAACACAATACCAGCTTCCGTAATATGAATCGAATCGCTTATTTCAAACATACTCGGTTTATGTATCAACCAGACAGACCACAACGTACCATAAATTAGAAAATAACATGTGTACACAAATAAGCCAAAAAGTGGCTGTGAACGCGGGAGATAGTAATTAATAGACTGAACATAGACTAAGAACCGTAAGTCGTATAATTAATAAATTATAGGTCAAAATAAAGCTTATAATAAGAGAAATATAAATATACGTAATGTAATTGTTGAATAATTATACAATAAGAATATTTATAGAATATTAGTCTATTAACAGTCTTCGGAAGTTACCTATAACTTAATCTTCACTGGGTTATAACAAGTAATATGTATCATCAACTGAAAATGAAATTCCTAGTTGGGGAAAGTTAAGAAGATCAAAGAAAAGAGAACGTGAACAGAGAATGATTTGCATGGAAATGAAAGAACAATGAAGTCTTAGACGATTGATTGATAGTTTGCAAATTAAGTATTTACCGTATGGTTCTCAGATTTTTCAAGGTGCTTTGTAATTTTGTGCTCAAATGCATTCGATTATCCCCGCTCGTATCCTCGTTTGCTACACTAGTTTTGGCAAAACTCTGCTCTTCACATTGACATGTTAAGTTGCTGTGTTTTATGAATTACTTTGATAAGAACGTATATTCATGTACTTTAAATATGCAGAATCACTTAATTTACAATTCGTCTTGGCCACACACAGTATTTATGCGTCACGTCGTCTTAAATTAGCCTGATTATTTCATGGTTTCTTATGTAGAATTTTAACGATAAGGCACTGATAACAGACTATTTTGAATGAGAGAATACTAATATTTATTCTATCCTTAACTCTATATATTTTGCAGCTGGAAAATCGACCACCCAACTTGTCATAACTAACCATTATGAAGTATTGGCTCTTAAACTACAGCCATTATGTCAGATATTCCACAATTTTTAGCCAGCACTTTCGTTCATTAGGCAATATAATGTTTATACTAATCGAATATTTTAATGGTGAGACCGAATGGTAAATTAGATAATTTAAGCAAACGGGTATTATAACATCACTTTGGTAATTACATGAATGTTTTTAATAACATATCAGAATCAAACTCACAACTTTTGCAAACGAACATCGTATAATATTGTCCTGAGAGGTTCTAGAACACTGATTTGTCCGGATACAACAATCCTACTGCTTATTGTTGCAAACTGTTGACTTTCAAAGTGTTAGATACGGAGCTGAACATCACTCCTCCAACTTCTGTTTGATTAATATAGTCATGTTATTAACTCTAGAATAAACACTGTGAAGATCCTATCTCAAATACCTAAAAAAACACGTTGTAAATAATCTATAAACCCAGACGTTTTACCCAAATATTTAACTTTATTGTACACTTTCAGTTGGAAATTATGTTTCATTATATAACTATATGATAATTATCTTAAGGTAGAAATGTGAGAGTACTTCACTCATTCACTTAACATCTAACTAGAAAAACTTTCCTAGTACAATTCAAAGTCTTGTGAATCAAGCCATAACTGAACAGTACCCAATTAAATCATAAGTATCCTGAGAGACTGATTTCACAATACATACATAACAAACTTTTCAAAAACAGACCTGCATACACTTATAAAATTAAAATTTTGTTGCATACTCAGTATTGAAATAGTAAATGCAAAATAATGTAATTTGGGTTTTCGCCATACAATATGGTAAGATATTATTTCATCACACTACATGACTAATGATTTCTTCCGTAAAAATGGTTCTACAATCAATTCAATTTGTTCTTTTTTTGTTTTAAGCATGCTGAGTGTAGCTTCTTTATTTTTATTAATCCAGGATTCTCCATCAAGACAAGCAGAATCTGCAATTTTCTGAAAACATAAAAGGTTAAACTTATCAAGACTAAAAATAAACATTATTAGTTTAAAAAAATAAGTGGTTTACAGGGGAATTTGTATAAAGTAAAAGTAATTCCTATCAAAAATCAACATAATTTGGAAAACCATTAGAATCATAGAAGACTAGGTAACAGTTTCGTATTGGTTTCGAAATATTCAAAAGTAAGTGGCCACATTATCTCGTATATAGTCGAAGCCAGAACAGTGGAGAGATATCATCGAATTCTACCCAACATAAGATAGTGGATACGGGCTGTTTGGAAGGTCAGAACTGGAACAAAACGGCTATTGAAGAGCTTTTTGGTATTAATGATCCTCCAAATGGTGTAAGTCAGTAATTTTAATAGCTTAATAAGATATGACTGGGATAAAAGTTTGTTTTTTACTTCCTTTCTCACCCATAAACATTTTCTATAACTAAGGTAGTTTTATTTAATTACGACAGTAACTGTAATAAGTTATCTGTTTGAACAACCTAAACATTGTTTCCAAAACATGAACTCAACAGTGATATCAAATGAATGTTATGCTATAAAATCTCTCAATTAACGAATCTTGCAACAGTTTTAAGGTAGCTAATGGATGGAAAGTGGTTATTCGTCAAGTCTAGGACACTTAATCTCTTATATCTGGGACTTTTCAGCTGTATGTACCTGCATTTTAAATTTATTGTTCACTCCAAGGCCCAAGTCTAATGTCTACGTATAACAATTGTTTTGTATTTACCTTCTGTATACATGATTTATAATGTGTAGTAATCTTTTTTATTAACAGAATAGTAGATCACACATACATATGCTCAGGGTTCTATTGGTAGCTTGTCAACAGAATTTTTTAAAACTTCACGGATCCAAGATATTTTAAAATTTTATTTTCCACCACGGTTTTTTGTGTAGACGTTTCTCTATTGTTTAGAGTTCAAAACGTTTGCGATAATGTTTACAGAACCTCACATAAGATACTCTGGATGTCTCAAATCTTCATAAAATCTTTACTCTTTTGACAATGAGTGTCTAGACTGGAGTGATTCCTTGCTGTTCAAAACTAACAAATTTACTTATTAATTATAGCGTCTACATGGAAGTTAATATTGTTTTAGACCAGTAGTTTTGCTATTGAAATCTATAAAAATGGTAGAGTAAAAATTCTAGCATGGATGATGTTGAATTGCAACGTTTAAAAAACAGAATACCGACCTACCCTTTCTTCTTTTGTATAGTCATTCTTATCAGAATTTGCCAAAATTTCTCTTACTAATCGGATCAGCATAATAAATTCATCACGACATTCTAAATGATATTAAATAAACAAATTATCTACATATGAATAATATTTTCATTAGATACCTATCCATTCTAAAATATACATTGCTTCTTCTTGTTTATATTTAACAGCTAGTTTATGCGCAGTTTCGCCGTGAATATTTTTTCTATAGACGTCGACACCAGCAAAATATAAATATTTTATTAAATCAGCATGATTCCACATAGCAGCATAATGTACTAAATTGCATCCTTTTGTGTAGAAGAGAGAAAATGATTTTTTAAAACAATACTTTGAAACCTACCATTTTTTCCGGTTTTATTTAGCTCGTTATAACCATTGCTTATTGCCTTTTCAATAAAACTTCTGGAATCTAATATTGTAAATAATTCAATAGCAGAATTGTGCATTTCGTCATATTCATTCATAGATCGTAGATAACCTTCTGGATCTTTATCATATTCTTTCAAAAAATTCTGGATTCTATCACCGTCACCCTGAAGAATGAGTTCTATTAAATGAGACATTGTTTAGACCTAAGATCAAGAAAATTAAAGACATTTTACCTTCGTAGGTGTTCAATAATTGAGGTAAACTCATATTAAGATGAGCAAAAATTCACCATCCTATAGACTGAGGCACAAAGACGATGAAAGAGTTTCTACTTAATTAGTGTTCCCTATTGTTTGATAAATAAAAATACGTATATATACCTGTACATGGACTCCGAAAAATGGTTAAAAGCCTGCTAAAGTTATGAGACTACTCGAACCCAACATAAAATCCTGAAAGTTTTCTGCGTACAGTTAACAATCAAGGAAAGACCTAATTATTTTGCAATTGTTTAAGTTACACACATCTTTAGCAATTAAAATGAAATGCCTGACATATGGCATTAACATCAGATACACTACAGTAATAACTACAGCACTGGCCAGTTAGTTAGTCATAGACAGTTTAGGTCCCTTCATGAATGTTAATAGACTTCACTTATCACAAACCACACAAGAACGTAAAACAGAGGGATCAGTAAGACTGTTAAAAGCAGAGTAGAGTAACAAAATTAATAGCTCTAGGAAGAAAAACATATTATAACATAATATTTGGAAATCATAGAAAATACCCATGACAGCCTGCTAAGATTTAACACTCAAGGTTGTAGTTTTATAGTTATAACTTACGATAATTACAGTCTGTATCTAGATAACCACAATATTAATGTTATCTACCTAAAACTGAAAGCAAATTTTTCCCTACTTATACAAACTTATAGAAGGCATAACTGTATTTAAAAGCTGAAATCAGTAAAAGCTCTTGTCAAACACTACAAGTCTGATATCTTGAAACCTTTTGGCTAGCCAGTCATCATTAACTTGTAGTTTGAGAGGAATGCACGACTACCAACGTTGCCTTACTACATGGAGTGGTACAGTCTTAAAGCGTTTGTCATACTTGTATTCATGTTTTAACCTTGAAAATAGTGGCGTTTATATAGACAAGTACTTATGTCACTACTTACAAATTCTTAACGTTAAAAATAACACCTACTGTGTAAAATTTAGTGACCACACACCTACTCATACATCAGCAAAACTGTTGTGATCTCACTGAATAATTCAGAAAATTGTTTTATTAGCTAAGTAGATGATTTTTATAACCTCACAGCAACACGAAAAAGGGCTGAATAATAATTAGATGTGGAGTGTACAGGATCAGATACACATTTTAGACAAAAACAACTTCCTGAGCCTTCTGTACAGTGTTGTAACGGGTGGACTGCAGGTTATGGAGCAGCGTGTTTATCGATCGATTCATTGACACGTAATGGACGACCTAGAGTCCCGATTGGCCCTGCTCCGCTGTCTAGCCCAGCCAGTTGAGTCCAGAACGCAAGTCACAGCCTCTGAGATATGAATCATTATATTTCAAACACACCCTGTTTATATACTAACCAAGCAGACCACATCGTACCATAAAAATAGGAAACAACATTTACACAATATTAAACAAGTGAAGCAAATATCGACCAATAGGAAATACACATTAAACGTCCAAGGACACCATTCGACTTGACAGGATAATTATTGGCATATTCCTCTGCATACCTAACATACAAAACATGATCCACAAAGACTATATCCCACTAACAAATGTATGTAAACTTACTAAAACTACTTATAATAACGCCCACTGGAATTTTTAAAATATTACTTTATGCATACAAAACCTAAAATTCAGGCGTCAAGTGCAAAGGACATGCATTAACGTGTGACTCGGTAAAATATTATTGAGACACTTAAAACTATACATTTCTCTTTTACCTATGAATGTAAGCAATTACAGAGGATTATTCTTGTTATGGACAAACTGTTTACCTAACATTTAATTTATTGTATGTCACTAAGGATACACGACTTATTCGTATACGCTTTGTCTTAAGAAATGCTTTTCAGTTACATGTCCCAAATTTTGCAGTTTTTCATCAATAAATACCCTTACTTGAGGTTTGATCCATAATTCGCTAGTGCGAAAAGGCTCAAATCTAGTCCAATCGTAATAAGGTTTTGTGAATCTTAAGACTTCGTATTAAATAATAGAAGTCCGCTAGTTGTAACAAATGTTGTCATTGTTCAAGTCAAGTTATTGTAAAATTCACCTAAGAATGATCTTTAGAAGGTTTTTAATGATGGCACATTAGTTACTGAAACCTCAATAGATGGCTTGCAGAAGAACCCACTAACTAAACAACTGAAACCACATTCTGATAAATACCTTGAGGCAACATAGTTTTAGTAGTAAATATAACATTATTTGATGTGATTAAAAATAAAACCTGATAAAGGTTTGAAAAAAAATAACACATTTAATTAAGCCTATTGGTAGCTTGTCATAAGGACCAACTTAAAGCCACATAAGTGTGACTATCTATCCATCTACCGATTCTTTTCTGTTGTTTATTTTAAGCTTAGTTTTGTGATTAACTCAAAATTGATATCCTTCTAATATCTGTCTACCTGTCCGTTTGCTTATTTGCCCAATAATTTAAGTATTGCACATTTTAAAAGCATTTCATTGCATAAGGCGGCACTTCAGTTCAATTCAATTTTACTCCGTGAAATGCAATTCTTAGTTCTTATAACTCTAGTTCCAGTGTAATTTCTATTCCAATTAAACTGCTGGATATCCTAGTACTACTGTAGTTCTAGTTTCAGCACAACTTCATAAAGCTTTATATCTAGTGCTAGCTGAACAATCACTTCAGCCATGCATTATACACATTCGTATTCACTCCACTTTGATTCCAATAATTCTTGGTATACATTTTAGCCTGTTTAATTATTTGAAAATATATTCAATAATAATACTAACTTACTTTTAATTCAACCCATTCGTTATCAGTCATCCTGAATGATGATACGAAAAGTTCAGGATTTCTTCAAATACATATTACTATAACAGTTCTTGTTAGATATATGGTTTTAACTGTGAGACACAACGCCATATCACCTACGTTTTGGATAAAGGTGGAAAAGTCCCAGATGGAAAAGGACAAGAGAAAAAGTGAGCCGACAACTCAGTAAGCACAGAAAATGAATTTACGATTAGTAATCAAAGCAACCAACAACAACTAGAAACGATGCAAACGGTTTAATATTCTGAACTATAAAGTAACAACTTCGTGGCAGTTTGCACCTAACTAGAAGGTAATTCGCGTAATAGGGAGGCATTCAGAACAGCGTAGGTGACGAATGTTGAAAAAGTCAACTAACAACACAAAATGAACTTACATTCATCAAAGAGGGTAAAAAATGTAAACTATTAAAATGCAAGAATCACGCTACAATAATCTTGACATCCAAACTAGAGGCAGATAATGTAGCATTGTACATATTAAGATTTCGAATACGTTACAAAATGTAGTCAATGGTAGCAAAGCTAGTTAAGGTCAAACAAATTCTCCAATATATAGTGTTTATGATGATTTAAGTGTCTAGGAGACAAACGTTTTGAATAATGTGTTATAAAAAATTTATTAGACTACTCATTTTGTCAGAACATTGATTCATTGACGCTACTGCCACTACTTTCGTATCAAGGCAGTTTATAAGTACAGAGGTATTTGTAGCATGCTAAATTAGCTTGATGGAGAAAAAGCTGTTGCATAAGCCGACATAGCGGAATGAAATATATTTTTTTGCATATTCTATGGCTACTGCATGAACCTCAACAAAAGGACAGGACCGAATAATCGAGACTACCCGGATTCCCTAAATTGTTGTGAATTATATTAGGTCAACCACTGTTCTAACATATCTAAAAGATATCGATTAAAGTGTCTGCATCCGCTTCTCAGTGAGCAACTCACCTTCCATCCCTAAAACTGACCGTCACATTCCCGACCAAGACAGAATTTGTGTCTAGAACTTCTCACAAAGAACTTAGGAAATCTCTTCCAGAATTATAGATGTAGTGAAAACAATAGGTGTGAACACAAACTAAGTGATAAACAGTACACTTTCGTCCATTTTCGTGTATTTGGTACTATCTGTACTATCTGATACTGTCTGTATCGTTGTTGCTAAGTTAACTTTGTTTGGACGAAGTGATCTCTGTGCTCTATCAAAAAGCTGTCACTACTACGTTTGGTCATAAAATGTATGACGACATGGAGATAACACATAGAAAACTGATCACGAAAATAATGTGCATGGATGATTTCAAGTAGCTGTGTACTGAACGGACACTCGTGTGAGAAAAGCTGATTTATCAGATAATACAAAATTGCAGAATTTTTTCATAATATACGGAAGCTGTACATCAAATAATTCACTTGCACATCTTCTATCAACTGTCCCTCATAAAGTTCATCCTTCTTTAATTTCTACTGTTATTAAAATTACTCTTTGTTCACATTTCTGTTCTCTTCAACTCGATCTTCTTAACCTTTTGCTGCTATATATTTCAGTTCTGATTGGTGGTATATACTACTTATGTCCGTTAACAAAGATATCACACACCACAGCTAGACCTTTGACTTTTTGTTCGTTTTCTTGGATCTGTAATACCTCATCAGTATAGTTTTGTTTTAATGTCTCTCAAAATGTATCTGTCTATGCTATGTGTGGCCAGGATGTCACCGCCATCTATGCTTCTAATAAAAAATGAGTCTATATGCTTCCACCAAAAGTTTCTCCGCTTTCAAGTGATTTCTTTTGTAATAGGGCTCTGTACTTTAGCGTCCATTCCTTTCACGTCTCCCATTTCTTCGAGTTCCCAGTACTAAGTTCCAGGTGTCACCAGATGACATCCAATACTGCATTTTGAAGCGCAACACTAAATCGAACGATGTCTCCCAATAAATGAATTCTTTGATTTCCTAAAATTGAATGCAATATTTTTGAAATCCCCATGTATAATCCCACAGACCTTGTGTACCAAAGATAAACACTCGGTATGTTTCATTCAGCATTTATCCGAAAACCTGACATAACATTCCATAGTTATGACACTATGAGAAAACCTCAAAGTCAGAGTAAAAGGAAAGAACTTTCAGTTCGTATGCTTTTCGATTTATGAAGTTTCATGTCTCGATAAGAACTCCGAAGGATAGAAATATTCACCATTTCCTCTATTTGTTCTTCAGATGTGTTCATATTGGGCATCTTCGATCATATAAAGGTGAGACCACAATTTATGGAAGAACCAACAAAATTAGAGATATTGAATCCCGAATTTTGACGCGAATTTCTCGGATGAGTGTTACATACTTCGCGTTGGTTTAGCTACTTCATTAAGTAGTCCTATTACACACGTTTTGAGCCAATTAAGTGCAAACTTAACGGTCGGAATTTGATAAAAGCAGTAAAAAAGGAAAGGCAAAAATGAATAAAGACTGTGTTGATAAGGTCATATGAGAATTTACACAATCCACGTTACGCTTAATTTTTCGAAGTCAATGAACATTTAACACACTTAGCTCATCAACCTTCTATTAGCTTGCACCTCTTTCCTTGTAACAATTTTCACACACTGAGTTTAATTCCTGTTTTATCTGAAGTTTATTTATTGATTATTTTGAGCTCTACCTGCTAAAATGTCCCATGGCAAACAACCAGGTTTTTTCAACAACCGTTTTTGTTAGTGATCCTGCTTTTTCCCATCATTTTTTAAGCGCCGCGAATGCGACATGTGAAGGTGAAATTTATGGGAGATTTGCACCCAACAAGGTGACAGTTTATACGATGTATCGTTTTTGGACAGAATATAGCAACTGCGAATTCACGACACAGTGCCAACACAAAATTATTAATAATTTGTTGATATATCTGCATGAATTTTCTACCATAGATTTCACTGAATCAATCTTTATAATAACCGGACTTCAGTAATACCCCATTTGTGAAGTTATTTGGATTATAAACCACGCCTGTGAGAACAGTATGCAGCTGCAAAATATTGTTTTTATTATTATCATTCATGTTCCTGTTTGAACAAATTTATCCCCTTCAGTTTCTATAAGCAGTGTGTCTCAATAAATGTCAACCCAAGTAACTCACTACAGTAAATCTCGTAATATTTTGACCCTTCCTGTAAACTTGCTATGGCTACCTTGCATTCAACCCCACATCTCTAGTCCGTTAGGTTTCACGCTATAGGTTTTTGTTCATAAACATGAGTGTAGTACCCCATGATAAATATTGGATCCGCTTACGCCCTCGAACATTCGTCACTTGTTAAGTTGAATTCTAATGTTCGCCGTTCAGTTAGTTCTAACCCGACTAATATTTACAATTCTTCAAATTGTCCCTGAGTCATTTAAAAGCACATAATCTACCTTTGTGTCTATAGCATCTGTAGAAGATCTAAATCAGTGAGGCTATGTAAACACGTCGATCAACGCGCCTCAAGCCCCAACCTTTATACAGATACATCAAACATGCATTGTTTACTTAGACGTGACTACCTACTACGTTGCGTCTCGGCTAAAGTTATCAGTAAAACTGACCACAAACTGTAGGACTCGACACAATTTGGTACATATTGCAGTCCATCTAAGAGTGCCACTTACTGGGAGCAATTCCTAGAATGTGTGGCTCACGAAAACACTCAGCAAAAGCAAAAAACGGGTACTCTGTTTAGTAGTAATAATAATTTATTCTCAAATAACAGATTGTTACATGAGGCATGCCAGTTTACAGGCAAGATCAAATTGATACAAATGATACAATATCCACTGTAGTAAAGTACATAGATGGGTCGATAATTTATAAGATATGAATGTAGATAGTTTTAATCAGTACCACAGTTGGCGCGCTTCATGAAAGTTGCGTTGCAAATGTGCAACTGATGGTCAAGGATAGGTCCATTGAAGGTATGAGCTTTTAGAAATCGCAACCTTATGTCCCTTTCGGGTATCCAAGGCTTTAAGGATGATGCAGGATGAAGTCAGCAGTTCCATATATCAAGGAGGCTGAAAGAGGGAACAAGTAAAAGAAAACACCAGAGGCAGAGTAGCCAATATTCATGAAGGAATGTTTAAGGTATGATTATTCAGTCTAATTTTCTTTTATTCAGGTATTTGTTAAGAAAGAGCATTTTAATAGGTTAAAGAAAATAAGTGTTGACAAGTTGTGAGTGGACATACAACTGACAAATGGGGGCGAGTCGGAAAAGAGCTGAGAGTATAAGACTATGTGTGGTTATAAAATAAAATATGGTGCTAGAAACAGTATTGTGATATACAATTGGCTGTCTTCCCTTTATTATCGAAGCTATTAGAGCCCCTTTCGTTTTTTTTAAAATATTTTTTCCCCCAGTTATTATAGGGTCTTGAGTAGGCTTCGTATATTAGCGAATTGTCTAGTTTGCTTGTAATAGGATTTCTGGGTAGGAAATGAAACCAATTCAACGTTCGTAACACGACTTAAAGAGGTATTTTGCGTGATAAATCAGCTTCTATACCATAAGTTCGTGACATCCCACTAACCCAGAATTATAGTCTGATTCGGTATTAGTACATTTACTATAATAATAATCCTAATCCCGAAATTGCAGATTTATCATGCTGTGACTACCAGATACACGAGATTTTGTGTGGAAGTCACATCATAGTCAATACTTACTCATCTTATCGTAATCAACGGCAATATGATGTTTATAGCGTTACTGACCAGCAAACATGAAGGTGGGGAGATAACTTCAATCCACCCATGTCTGTAGGGCAGAACATTTTGTTTAATTACGGCTCCTTATGGTTTAGTGGGATGCCACGAACTTATGGTATTGAAGCTGATTTATTCACGCAAAATACCTCTTTAAGTCGTGTTACGAACGTTGAATTGGTTTCACTTCCTACCCAGAAATCCTATTACAAGCAAACTAGACAATTCGCTAATATACGAAGCCTAATCAAGACCCTATAATAACTAGTGAAAAAATATTTTAAAAAACGAAAGGGGCTCCAATAGCTTCGATATTAAAGGGAAGACAGCCAAATGTATATCACAATACTGTTTCTAGCACTATATTTTATTTTATAATCACACATAATCTTATACTCTCAGCTCTTTTCCGACTCGCCCCCATTTGTCAGTTGTATGTCCACTCACAACTTGTCAACACTTATTTTCTTTAACCTATTAAAATGCTCTTTCTTAACAAATACCTGAATAAAAGAAAATTAGACTGAATAATCATACCTTAAACATTCCTTCATGAATATTGGCTACTCTGCCTCTCGTGTTTTCTTTACTTGCTCCCTCTTTCAGCCTCCTTGATATATGGAACTGCTGACTTAATCCTGCACCATCTTTAAAGCCTTGGATATCCCAGAAGGAAATAAGGTTGCGATTTCTAAAAGCTCATACCTTCAATAAACCTGTCATTGACCATCAGTCGCACATTCGCA